CAATACTCATCATCAGCAATCCTCCAGACATGATTAGAGTCTGCTCTTCGTCCTGTCAATAGAGATGTCCTAGATGGTGAGCATACAGCTACCTGACAGTAAGCTCGCTCAAAGAGCATAGACTTTGAGGCAAGATCATCAATGTGTGGACTCTTGATATAATCATGGCCATAGGCTCCTAGTTCTGGTCGCAGATCATCAATAGCAAAGAACAATACATTCTTATGTTGTTGCGCACAGGTACAATAACTAATTATAGAAAAAAGAAAAATCAGCCACTTCATCTTGACCAATGAGTCCCACCCAAAATATAGTATTATTCATATCAATTTTGAGGAAATTCATACAACACATGACAAATATTTTACATTACAATAATAATATATATACTATAACTTAATCATTAATACCAATAGGCAAATAAAATTGTAGATTTATATGCAATGTTTTAATTGATATTTACTAGTGGTTCTGTAGAAATAAAATAAATTATTGCATGGGCATACCCCATATCCTTAAATAAAAGCTGGGGGCACATAATAAAAAGTGTGTGGATCATCTGGGTTAAAATTATTTCTTAAAACATCTAGTATAACTTTTTGAGCAATTAGGTATATTGATTAAAATTGAGAATTGAGATGTAGAAGAGAATTATATAGTCTATAGACTTACAGTTAGATGTAATAACTCTGTCCAGATATTGGTACAGTAAACTTGTTTTCTTTCATACATGTAAGCATATACATGTAGTTGTGTACTGGTACATTAGTTGACAAAACTATAAATATAAAAAATCAATACAGAAAGTCAGAAACATCTTAATAGATTTTTACATCATGATTAAAATAAATGGCACACTGTATTCAATCAGTCTTAGATGTTCTGGATTATATTGAGTTTATTCTTCGCAATATTTACAGACTAAAACATCATCATCTTGAATACAATAAGTCAATACTTTAATTTTAGTGTACACTGGTATACTAAGAAGTGTTGAAAGACAAACAACAAGGTATACATCATGCATTTCCACTAAGCAATCAAATAACCATGGTATGATATCAATGTGTGTGACTATAATTAGTACTGCTGGTAATACTTCTCTAAAAAACAAACAATCTAATAAGAACTAGCAGCAGCAGCACAGCAACCTAGCTCAGACCAAAACAAATGGTAAATAAGGCTTAGCATGACTAGGAAACACATAATCAGATATTAACAGTGTCTATTAAGTTAACAATAAACAACATTCCTTGTATATAATATTACTTCCTACAGTAAACAAAGAATGTTAAGTACATATATGCAGTAGGCACGTCACTTGCATGGTCTCTTCCTAGTTGCTGCAGATTGTGATCGTAGAATAGCGCAATACAAATTGACACTACTGGTAATTTTGTGAGGGCCTGGTGTCCCTTTTGAGAATTAGCATCATCAAAAATGAGTCTTTACAGATATCGATACTTGTGACTTTGATACTTCTTATCTACTCAGTAGTGTATTGCCATACTCTACAGACGTAAGAATTTAAAAAGACAATAAAGACAAGGTACACATGTAAAGGATTTAAATTATTAAAAAATTGTTAAAGGATTATTAAAAGGATTTAAATTATTAAAAAATTTGAGCAACTTCATCTTACTAATGAGTCCTACCCAAAATTTATTATTCATACCAATTTTGAGGAAATTTATTTAATAGAAATTTATGATAAATTTTACAACAACAAAACTTAAATATTAAATACCAATACTATACATGCTTAACAAGGAAAATAAAATACATGTATAAGCCCTATTTACACTACAAGCCAGTTTATGGTTTTATATAAAAAAATGAGGTTTGTTGCAGTGGTAAAAAATGAGCATTTTGTCCAGAATAACTGTGAGATTTAAACCACAAAAAAGACACAAAATCTATTATCCTCAAAATATAACGTTTTTACAATTCATTTCACCATCATGATAACAATTTGAAAACTACATGTACATGCATGTACCGTATTTCCTTAAATAGAAGCCTCATTCGAATAAACGCCGGGGTAGCAATAGGATTAAAGTATAAATACGCAACACCAGCCTAGGAGTGACTCAGTAGTCTAGTGGGCAATGCCTGAAGTTCCACAAGTCAAAAGCTTGAGGCCACGGGTTCGAATCCCGCTCTGGGCCAAAGTTTTTTTTATTTTTTATATATTTTTTGGTGGTCCAAGTATCATTTTAGGAAATAGACGCCCGGGCTTTTATTTAAGGAAATACGGTACACATGTATTTCTAAAATCTGAAGTTTAAATTTAATTACTATAGATCAGACAGAGGGAGTTTTTAACAAGCACAGCTAAGGCAAATTAATTAATAAACTGGCAGAGATTATACAGAGTCTCAAAAAATTTTGAGACTATAGACTTACAGTTTGAGGTAAAGATTCACATCCAGATGTTGCTACCACAGACTTGCCTCTTGCCATACACACATGTACATGTATGTACATTAGCTCACAAAACTATGAATACAAAAATATTATGATCACAGGAACATAATTATTCATTAATTTTTACAGTATATCGTCCATCTGGAAATCATAGCACAATTTTAAAACATGAAAATTTCTACGGCACTAATTTCCTAATCTACAGTAATAGAAATAAATGAGACACTGTATTCAATCAGTCTTAGATGTTCTGGATTATATTGAGTTTATTCTTCACAATATTTACAGACTAAAACATCATCATTTTGAATACAATAAGTCAATACTCTAATTAGTGTACATTGGTATACTAAGACAGTTGAAAGACAAACAACAAGGTATACATCATGCATTTCCACTAAGCAATCAAATAACCATGGTATGATATTGATTTGTGTGAACAAATAGAGCTATAATTAGTGCTGCTTGTCTAAAACTGGACTAAAAAACATCAACATTCTAATAAGAAGTTAGAACTATCAGCAGCAGCACAGCAACCTAATCCAGACTACAAAAATATGGTACATAATGTAAAGTTTGGCATAATTGGGAAACACATAATCAGATATTAACAGTGTCTATTAAGTTAACAATAAACAACATTCCTTGTGTACAATATTACTTCCTATAGTACACAAACAATATTAAGTACATATATGCACATCACTTGCATGGTCTCTTTCTACATGTACTGTAGTTGTTGCAAACAGTAACAACTGAACCATAACAATTACAATTATTTCGAGTGGGTGGACGTTATAAACAAACATTTAAAGCACGAGCGATAATTAATTTTATTATGTAGATGGTAGTTTTACATTGCAAAAGCATGACATCAGATATGGCACAATGTGGGTGGGAAATGGGAAGCATGAACTTATTGGAGTGATGTCATGACAATGTAAAAGTAATTATTAATTCTTCATAAAACAGATCATTTTTGGCACGTACTTTGGCAAGTGCTTTAGTCTGGCCCCGCCTCTTCGTTGCGCAGGACCAGACTACAAGTACTTACACCACAAGTGCTTCATATAAATCCAGAGTTAATTGTACTTTTTTCTCAATAAGGTTATATAATTTATGTTTGATTAATAATCACGGACCTTTTCTTTATTTTTATTTATGATCATTTATGGTAAATAATTAGAATGTGTAATTTCATGGTTGTACTAGAAGACATCCTATTAATTTTATATCTCGTGTAGCGGCCAGCCCATCCCGAGACTACTAAGGCCACTCCAATTTGATTCCTTGTTTCCCATTACCCGCCCGCATGGGGCCGCATCGCTATTCATTATTGCGGTTTTGCATTGATTATACAAGCAATTTATACAGCTGATAATGAATAAATTTAATGAAAATGAACAAACCCGCCCGCCCGCATCAGGCCCGCCTCTGTAATGGGAAACTATGAATCTTATTGGAGTGGCCTAATATACATTATTATTGTCAAACTTACAAAAAGCCTGATGAAATTCATTAAATTTCATTCTAGATAATTACCTACCAATAATAATAACAACAAAATAACAAGCAGCTAGGTAATCTACCTCGAGATCTACCTTTAAAAATCTCCTTAATTATTTTCACATTACATTTACCGCAGCACCGCCCACATGAAAAGATGTCTTCATTGTCTTGTCGTAGGCCACAGGAGTCTGAAAATAAGAGCTTAAGGAGTGGCTGTAAGCGGAGACGGGTGCAGCATTCAGAAAACGAGTCACCTTCATATTCTGTCGATGCATCTCAAGATGACAGCTCCGACAATAGCAGTGAGGCACAGATTTTGACTCCTACCCCGCCCTCCCCTCTTCCAGTAGATGAGAATGAATGTCCAGCTTCAGATGGTAGTGATGCTGAACTTGAGATGGAACCTGATCAACTCAGCCAGCCTATTTTTACTAGCACGTTTAATCCACTAGCCCCTCTCTCTGGTTTCACTGGTTCAGTGGATCAGCATTGCGTCACCGAAGATATTGTTGAAAGCTACTTTGCGAGAAAGACAGTTGGAAATCAAAAGGTAGAGATGTATCCAAATATTGATGAGTCATTACGTCAAGAATACCTTGGTGTAGAAAGTGATTCTTTTGATCTGTTTGATGTATACCGTGGGTTATTTGAATACTGGCACTGCCAACTCAAATCTGGTTTTAATGTGCTATTACACGGAATCGGATCAAAAATCAAGTTATTGAGTGAGTTTCGTAGCACTTGCCTCTCTAATTGTCACTTAATGGTTGTGTATGGCTTCTTTCCAGCTCTCTCACTTAAAGAGATCTTGAATACAGTGACTTCTGATATATTTGAACACTCTGGTCATTTCAAATCACTCACAGAACAGTGTAAATTTATATGTTCACTTTTATGTGATAAAAAGTCCTCAGTTAAAGAGCTCTTCTTACTAATTCATAATATTGACGGTCGTTCCTTACAAGACAAGAAGATGCAAGAAGTACTTAGTCTGCTGGTAACTTGCCCTTCTATTCACATAATAGCCTCTACTGATCATCCACGTGCATCACTACTTTGGGATGAAATTACTATGAGTCGTTTCAACTGGGTTTGGCATCATACGCCGACATATGAGTCATATGATACTGAACTCTCGTACGATAAAAGTGGAACTTTCCAGAGATCCGATGCTTTAGTTATATCGTCTTTTAACCACGTAATGAGCAGTTTGACTCCTAATGCGAGAGGAGTTTTTCAAGTCCTGGCTAATGTTTTATTAGAGCATAAAGATGATACCACTTTCTCTGGTTTAAGTTTCACTGAATTATATCAGAAGTGTAGAGAAAGGTTTTTAGTAAGTAGTGATGTTTCATTACGTGCTCAGCTAACCGAATTTAAAGATCACAAATTAATCCAGTTCAAGAAAGGTCAAGATGGAACAGAGATATTAACAATACCATTCAAACTTTCTATAGTTGAGCAACTGATAGATGCACAATGATTGCACTTAAATGCGTTGTTCATGATTATGCTTACTCATTTTGTTATCACTTATAATTGTGTCAAAAGGTTGTAGGATTTTTTTATTGTGTCATTATGACACAGAATGAGAAAGATTGTGTATTACATGAGATCCAGTTGTGCTTTGCATAATATCTGAAATGAATCATAAAATCACAGGTATATATACATAGTATATAAATTTTTGTTACTAATGAATTCATAATGAGGGATAAAGAATAAAAATTAAAATAGTAATTTCACACTAAGCAATAAAAAAACAGAAATTAGGTAAAATTAAAAATGATAAAAAATAGTAGTCAGTTGGCTTTCATTCAATCCTGCAATAACAATTACATAATATAATTCAAAAATCAATATGCCATACTTCATTCACACGTATGTCATGGCCAGCGAGCACTTTAGCTTTAAACATTGGAAAAAATTCAATGATTCCAGCAGGGTTAGTTTTGGAAGGAACCTGTAAAAGATCAAGCAAGATAAAGTTTCAGTTTTTACTTTAAACTTACCCTTTCCTTTACATATTTTTCTAGTGCATTATGATCATTTGGGTGAAGTGTATCAAGATACAATACAAAATGTATATAATTCCACACATTGTGCTCAATTCGCCAGTGCTTTTGAAAATTCTGAATAATTGAATTAGGTCCGTCCCACAATTAAAAATAATATTATTGCTACTTACTAAACCATACTGTTCAAATACATCCTTCTTAACACTGCAAACAAAACATCTTGACTCATTGTCATCATCAATTTTATCCTAAAAGTAATATGAAATATGAGATATCATTAATGATACCAATGCCTTTTCTTCTCTGAGGTCTGAAAACCTGTCCACAAGTATAGCAATAACAATGTTAAGTCCCAATGTAGTAATAACAATGAAGAATATGACATCATAAATTGTACGCCAAGCAACAAGAGTGAAGCTTGGTTGATATTGCTCACTTGGACGTATAGCAATTGCCTGTGTGTGTGTGACAAAAAATTACACTATAATTCAATGCGTAAACTTACTGATCCAATTGTGTCAAGAAGACCCAAACGCGTTATTGTGACAAAACACTGAAATATTGTCTGACAGAATTCATCATTTGTATCAGAAAAATAATTTGGGATGAGTGCAAAACTGATAACAGCATAAATATAGATGACAACAAGTCCCAGTATGAGAATAGTAAGTAACTGAACAGCTACATAAGCAAAGTAATAATGTAAGAAATATACTGTATCACTCTCACCACTTTTTCTGACAGCTCTGAGTATATTTTTGAGCACATGATTTCGTAAGAAAAGGTATATCATGCAACCACAGTAGAAGTAGCCACTTGCTGCAAGGCCCAGCAAAGACAATATAACAAAAAGAATACGATATAGTGGCTCAAAACTAAAGAAAAAAATTTGAAAATATTTTTCAGGTTGAGGTGGTTTTGAACGAAATTTTCCACAGCAAAAAATTTTGTTGAGCAGCCTAAAGAACTGATAGATATATTTTCTTCGCAAAAGTCCTTTTTTAGCCTTGTACCTAACAAAAGAAAGTAAGCTTAAAAATTATAATTGAATAACTTACATGACTTTTTTAATAGATAATATTTCAAAACGTATGTTAGTCCAATGCTTAGCATAATACTGTAGAACCATCCACAGAGCAAGTATTAGATGAATAATGCCAAGAGTATAAAAAACTGGATAATACCAAACAGGTGTATCAGGCTTCAAAATGGGCTTAAAGTAAAGAGGACTAGTGCTATTACAAGTACCATCGACAGCACAGGTTTCATTGTTGTAGCTGTGAATGAATTGTTAAATTGCTGAAAGTTTTTTATAATAATAAGCTCTGGCTTACTCTGATGGAGCTCTGACAGAAAACAGTACAATTGCATTTATAAGTATTGTTAACCAAAACAAGAGGAAATGCCTTATTGTTCTAAAGTTACAAAAAACAATAGTATTTTGTTGTAGAGATACATGTAAACTCACGACGCCCACAAGAGCCAATAGGATTTCCAGGATTTTTTGACTTTTTTCTATTAAATTAAGAAAAGCAATGATAGTATTTCATTTTTAATGGGCAAGCACCATTAATATTATATATTTTGAAGCATTTATTTTATTTTATTTTATACTGCATAAATTAATGAAGGAAAGCATTTGCATTTAAGATGCATTACACGACAAAATCTAAAATATATATATTTTATAGATTAGAACAAAAATGATTTAGTTAATATCATACTTTCCACTCATGAGCAAATCTAATAGCTTCTGTCCATTTGAGGAGATCAGTGAGTTTTTCTTGAGGCGTATTTCTTTTAATGCGTAACATAATAGTATCTTTCTCATTCTCATTGAGATGTTTCTGTAGCATAAATCAAAAATGAATCAGTACAATTCAAAAATGGCAGCAACATACATGGGGATCATATGGAAAATAGGTACGTGTTAAAATTTCTTTACCACTCTTAGCTTTGTAAACAACTTCAATACTTCTTGACCAATGTTGACAATACTGCCACATTCTTTTAGCATCATATACACTTTCACCAAATAATGTATCAAAACTTGTTGGATTCTTTCTAGAGTGTTTCTTGTATCCCACTACATGTAAGTCATAAAAATACAATAATATTATATGGCAAAGTTTACCTAATTTGTTAACACTGATTCCTTTATAATCAGAGATTCTTCTAAGTACATGATACGCACGAAACACACTGTTTCGTAACTGTTCACGAGTCGAAATATTAAAAGGCTCTGAATATGCTTGCCATAAATCAAACATTGCTCCTAAAAATGTTGCTATGTTCCAGTGATTCATTATCCATTGAGCTAGCTGTGGAGAATTTTCATCTGTTTCCTCTAGCATAACTTCAAACAGTTCAATGCAAGAAGATTTCAGTTGATGTAGTAGTTTGGAAGCCTAAAAATATTTGCTGGAGTAACTTGAATTACTGTTGAGTGTTGGCTAACTGTGGCACTGGAAAAATCCTCTTGCAATATAGTTTCAACTGACAGTATAACTTGTCCTTTAAAAGCAATCACTTGATTGCTATAATTACCAGCACACATTTCTATCAATGCTTGCACTGCACCCTGGACAACATTTATGTTGCTTTCATTTAAATTCTCAGTAATTCCATGGAGTAAAAAAGCAACTTGACTAACAATATTTGATCCCTGCATTATAAAAAAATACAATAATATAGCAGTTAATTCTGCTAGCATTAAATTTTGGCAAACACTTTATTTAACTAAATTTTTCATAGGCAAACAGTATCACCAAAATTCTATGCCAAAATAAGCTGTATTAAGGTAGATCTATGTAATAATATTACTGGACATACACTAAAAGTTTTGTCATCTCGAAGGATGTCTTGCATATCTTTCTGTTGCCCATCACATAGCCATGAGAGAACATTCAAGGCCATGGTAATACGATGATCAATAAATTCAGCTTTTACATTCTGTTCAACAGCAGAACTTACTCTCATTCCCTAAATAAATAGAGTTGCTAAAGAGCATGTAGCTACACTTTCTAACCATTATAGATAGTTTTGCTTCTCCGTGACCTACAAATAAGTATATTATCGTTATTAAAATAGCACCATACCTTCATCATTTCCTTCTATAGCTGCTGTTCGCCTTCTACTACTCAACAACTGTACTTGAGACTAAGAAAAGTATTTGCTATAAACATATGTAATAGCTATCTCTTACTCCATTTGCTGACAAGTCATCCATTGATTGAGACATTGAGCTAAATACACGATTTTTATTTCTTTCCTAAAAAGGTTTAAAACTCAAGAATCATAACTTAATTATTTATACCATTAACTTAATGGACAATGAGGAGTCATGATCATCCTCAGCTGGAATCAATGCTGCTATTTGCTAAAATTAAAATGAAGCGTAACTATCAATCATTATAATAATTTAAACGTACAGCCATAGCATTGCCCATTCTAGAAAAGTGCCACAAACATTACTATAACATTGCTAAAGGTAAAAATAGCCTACTTTGCTTTATTGAGTGTAGATTGAGCTCTTCTTAATATTTGATGGACACGTACAAAAAGGCTTCTGTCTTGCTGATTGACATGTGAAGTTATTCTTTTTTGAGCTTCTTCATTCCCCGGATAAAGTAAAACATTAAGACAAGCCAAAACTTGAAATGCTATGTCATCTTTTGGATGATGAAGTAAATCAATCAACTATAATAAACATTATAATCATCTATTTTTCATGTCTTTCCATTTATTCTTACTGTTTCAACTATTTCATTATTAAGAAGAACTGTCTGTATTGGTTGAATAACTTGTTCATATTGCCTAAAATAATTAAAATCCAAGTAGTTTAATGAAAATCAATTACTGTTGAAATTCGTCAAGATTCAGGGTGCTCCTGGGTACTCTAATAATTCTTTTAAAAATCACACCACATAAAAGTTTTAAAGTTATGAGTGTAAGTCCTTCAAGATTAATTCTTTCTAAAATTGGAAGACCTTGCTTTCTTTGCTTTTGAATGAGATTCCTAATAAATTGAATGTCAAAGTCAATATAACAAGTAATTTATTTTTACCGTAGTATCAAAATGAGTTTCTTTACTTTTAATGAATCAGCATTCATTCTGTAACATAATGATAGCATTGAATAAACAAAATCTGCTATATACCTAAGGTTTTCATCATTATCAGAAAATAAATCAATCAGCTTAACAAAACTGGGGTCGTTAGGAATGACTAAGCTTTTTTGTACTTCATCTATGGTTATGTAATATAATAATAATAGCAACATGTCATACTAGATGATTCATTGTAGGCATTGGAATACTTCACTAAGTATGCTTGCAAGTCTTGATTCAGAGCAACTTCAGGATTGCTAACATATGGTGCAAGTGAAACTGTTCTTGCCCTATTCAAACTATAAATGACAAGCTTTTGATTTCTCAATACATGGTAATGAAAAAGTAGTAGCTACTTGATTAAAGGAGCAAGGCTCATGTAGTGTTTCACAAAATTGCATGATATTAGTTACACATTGTCTTAGGATTTTGACATGACTTGAAGCGCAAATTATTTCAAGACGGTGAAGAGCCTGACAAAAAAATAAAACAATATTAATTTCCATAAGGTTTCAAAATTACCAGCAGTTTCTCTCCAACTTCTTTGATGACATTAACATCTTTGGATGTGAGTATACCAGTACACAACTCATTTCCTCCAGACAAATGAAGTGACATTTCATAGCAAAACCCTGACAGCATTGGAAGGATGCCTTCAACAACAAATAATAAACTACTACTGAGATTAACTGGAATATCAGTTGAGTATTTTATCCATCGATTAATACTCCAATTTGATTGTGTCAAATTCTTCATTTTTATTTGAAGGGCTTTCTTTTTTTCAGTTGTTAAAGCATAAATCTCCTTCAATATTTTTTCCTCAATATCTGAAATCTGTTGCTCTATGTGCAACAAAAAATTCCTACAAATCAATTGATAATAATTATTAATAGTTTTAAAAAGTAAAGTACCTGCTAGATGCTAATTGAGAGCATGCCAAAGCAGAGTCTCTCTCAGTATTTAAAAATGTCCAAGTTAAAAGTCTCACAAAGGGCAACTTGCGATGGCTCACAATCTTTTCATTTGCAAGAATTCTATTAAAATTATAATAACAAAAAACTTGATAAGTACTACTTACAAAAGGAGTTCATCTATGTCATAAAAATGTTGGGAAACAGATTCTGCAGACTGGCACTCTCCAACAGTACATGATGCTAACAGGTCAGTTATATTTAATAACAGTTGAAGGTGAGGGTCTTCATCGTCAGCCTATAAATTACAAAATTATTACATTAGAATAACAAAGCATACGTTTTTTAAAAGTTGAAATCTATTAGCTTGATTTTCTGGACCTAAAATGTGTCCTAAATTATCCTGCCAGTGATGAAGAAAGAGTTGTGATACATACTCTTGCAGTGGAGTTGCTGGCTCTGTGTTCTGAATACAATAATAGATTAATGTGCAAAAATTAAATTAACCTGTATAATGGTTTGCAGTGTGACAGTTAACTCATAGTGCTCAGGATTACTGCTACTAATAGAAATAAAAAATAACTTCCTGATATCATTTTCGGATAATCTTTTACAAAGGGAAGAGTTATTAGAAAACACCTATTTTATGACACACTGTGATAGTAAACACAATAAAATTATAATTTCTAACTTCACTAAGCAAACATGTCATAGATGCAACGGCAGTCTTGATTTCAATAAAATCATTGAAAGACACAAAAAGTTTATTCTGTGCCTATATTAGTATTAATGTAAATCATTAAAAGTTCAGTTGGCATACTCTTATATTCTTTCTGGTAATTTTTTGTAACAATGTAAAACAGCTACTAAGAACATCTTCATGACACTGAGATTCATCTAAAATTCCATATTCAAGCACAAATTCCATTAAGACATTAAAAAGCCCTAAATTTAATTCAATTGAAATTCAGTCTTTGCGTATCACTTTTTACTTACCACAACTATATGCTACTCCTTGATTACTAGAATCAGGTTCAGACTCATCATTAGAAGAAAGAAAACAATTTGAGAGTTCATCTAACTTATTCAATAACTTTTGCTTATCTTGGACCTGGTTTCTCAACATTTGTTTGAGAAGTTGATGTGAATCTGTCATAGACGATAATTCTTTCATCTCTTTATGAATTGCTGAATGTGTATAAGGAGTAGTAAAATAAGCATCCTTAGCTTTAGAGAGCAGTATATTTTCAACTTCAAAAATCTCAAAAAGAATATTTGCACTCAGCAAGCAAACATCATTGTCATCATAACTGATAAGGTCCAACAGAATAGAGGACAATTCTTGACAGTTTGTAGAATCAATATCAAATACTGAGTAAACTTGGCTTTTAAAATTATATCTTAACCTGGCAAGTGATTCCGCACACAATCTGATGCATTAAAATACAATTAGTCTTATTTACAAAATGGTACATACTTTTCAGTAGGACAGTTTTCACTATCAAGAAGTACCTCCATGTTAGACGGTGGTTCAGTAAATTCTGACTCTTCCTTAGAGAGTATTGCAATCTCTTCTAATTCTATCTGATCATCAGGAATCTTTCTGAAGCTTGACCTTACATTACTATGCAATACATCTTCAAGAGTGTCTTTGCCTAAAATATTTTCTTCTTCAATTGAACCTATAAGTTCCGTGTTCTCTTGAAGCTGGTCTTGAGAAATGTATAGCTCTTCACCCTTTCCTCTTAAGTGTTTAAAGTCATACAAAAGAGCCTATAAGAATTAAATCAAAATGTCAATACAAAACAATCTACCTTAACGGATGAATGAAAATGTTGCTGAAGAAGTAAGCTCAGTGACTGTAGTGCTCTAGAAGTAATTAAAGTAATAAAATTAGTTAACGATCGTGCACAAAGTAACATACAGGAACTTAATTTTGAAAACTATTTTATTACCAGGAGTGTCACTACTAACTCTTTCATGATATTCTAACACATTCCCTGCAATTATTTTGATCATCATCATAATAGTTCATAGACTTACCCAAGGAATTTGCATCACTTTTACTATCAATAATACTTATCAAAAGATAAACAATTTCTAACACCTCATCATCAGTATTGTAAACTCCATAGTCAACAAGAAATGCCAAAATACCAAGTACTTGAGCTAAAATAGAATTTCTTCCTTTGTAGTCATCCCCAGTATACAGTAAATGCATCTTTAGAAATAAAATTAACATTAAGCAGGATTCTTTATCATACCTCATCTGTAGACAAAAATTGATGCAAGGAGTTCTTCATAGACAATACATGATTCTTATGTTCACCATCAACAATGAGTTCAAATTTTTCATTTGGCTTCACTGATAATTCAAGATAATTCTAAAGAAAAATATTACAATGCTATGTCTGACTTACATATGTGAATGATCTTCTTTTGATAATGATACCAAATTTTTCAAAATAATAGCCAACTGCCTCTACAAATCCAGACAGTATTTCTTGTACATTAGGATTAGCTTGAAAGTTATGAACCTGTGAACAAAACAAAACATAATAAAATTACAACCTATCACTCTACTTGCCATTCCAGTTGCAAGTGTCCTTTTATAAATTTGATCTAAAAATTTTGTGACAATATTGTCAATGCTAATTATGCTAACTTTGAATTTCTTTGTTAAATTTTCTTCCACTAAATGCCAATGCAGTCATCAATTCAGCAACCTTAGAATCCTATAGCAAAATTAAAAATAAACTAAACTACTACATAACAGTATCAGAACCTCTGTATTCAATGTCTCAATAAATGAAATAATAAACTCCTGTAATAGGTCACCTATTTCTCTACAAATAGAATAATACTATTAGAAGAATTAAGGATACAAAATATTACACATCATCTTTTGATAAAGCAATAAGAATTTTTTCAGTACCAAATCCTTTGCCAACCTTTTAAAATCATTTCAAATAAAAAAGTAATAAAATTATCATAGTATGTACTGTAGTCATTAGTGACTTTAACAATTCTTTCTTAGCAAGATAGTGACGTGATTTGAAGTTGGAATTTTCCACATACTCCTCAAGGGCAGAACAAATACTACAGCAAGCCTGATGTTTTCTATAAAATTTACAAATGAATAGCAATTATTGAGAATGCTTACAATGGACTACTAGTTCCAGAAGCCATTTTCAACAATAAAGCAATCATAGCATCAATAGTCTATATTATGATTATAACAAGAATCATGATTGCATGAAATTTAATACTTGTAAGGTCCTTAACATGTTTGCAAGTCTTTTCTTGTTTGAAGAAACATTAAAAGCAACTTTTAATCCTGTCATTTGGGTCATCACATCTTGATAAAGTGATGACACTTGTAATGCTCTTTTTGAATCAAGCTCATCTTCAGTAGTAAATAACGACACCTACAATAGTATCTAGCTTAAATTCCAAACAATAGGTTTATATTATGCACCCTCTTTAAATTGTAACACAAACATGAACTCAATCCTGTCACATGATAAATATCTAAAACTGCACCATCTTCAGCCTAATGCATGTGAAAGAAGTATATATGAAAATGACAACATTAGATGCCATGTAAAAACATGTGACACTATAGCCAGAATGTAATTTATAACCTTAAGTATTTCATATTGGCTGGTAACAGGTACTGGTATACTATCATCTTTCTTATCATCAAGCACAAGCTACATGTAAGCAGAGCATAACAACACACCAATAAAATCTTAACAAATAATGACACTTACACTAAACCATTGACTAAGGTGGTCTTTCTGGGATAAATGTCTTTTCTTAAGAATAGGTTTAACTTGAAAATATAAATACCAATGCTAAACCAGCTTATTAGCCAATTAAGCTAACCATTAACTCCTAAAAACTTCAGACTATTGACATGCTGAAGAACAACTCTGTCTCTTATGCAAACTTTCTAAAATAGAATAATAATAAAATGAAAACTTGTTATTCACACCTCTTGTGGAGCAATATCAATTGGCAATATTTTAAATAGCTCAGCTCCATTGGCCTCCTTTATATTCTCCACAACAAGCTACGTAAGTAGATGTATGGAATTTTTATTTGAATTAAACAAACTTTCAATCCATCCAAAGTATCCTTAACGCTGATGTACTGCTGTGTTGGTAAATGCTTAATTCTACATTGCTCACCAAACAAAATAGGATTTCCTAGACCAATATACAAGGACAATCTTTAATGCAAACTAAACCTGTCAATATGTGAGTTGTTTTCTCCAGCTGAAAAAAAGTGTCACCAGAAAAAGGCAAAATTTTAAAAAAGCCTTGACGCCATCGCCGTAATCCAACTGTTAAAATACGGTGTAATTATGATTTTGTAGCAAAGCATTAGACACTGAAACCTTCATTTTGAGTCCTTTTGAACTGATCAGGAAGCTTATCATTGACAAACGAACCTTTGACTGAGACATACCCATCAATTTTTAGACTGGAAAGCATAATAACATTGCCACCCTAATTAAAATAAAAAATAATACAAATAAGAAGAATTATTTACCCTTAAATACTGTGGATTTAGAGTGGAACGTTTGTAACAGTGAGACTTTATAGAAAATATGGAGCCTGTCACAGATAAGACTAAATGATAGCTGTTTAAAAATTGATAAAATAATAGTAAAATTTTTGTGTAATATACCTGGCTTCAAGTGGATTATTAACACACTGTATCCTATAGCCTTTGTAATAAATACTTTCTAGTTTAATGTTGTCATTAATTGCCAGCTGGTAAAGGTAAAAATTATGCCATAATTAAAATTGTACAAATATACAATTGAAAATATATAATTTTAATTAAAGAATTTTGTTTTTTCTAATCAGGTGCTAGCTGCTAGATTCAATCATAGATCTACTTTGCACTTACCATTACATAAATTTCAATGAATATTATCTTATATCATATTTAAATATCAAAAGTTTTTGCAAGAATGAGAGATCATGGAATTAATATATATTTGGTATTGGACAGGCTTCAAAATAAACAAATCAATCCATGAGCAATAAATAAATTGAATTACTTAATTTCCAATACATGCAACTCACATCATCACCCCATCCTTTTTCCTGATGAGAAGGAACAAGCCTAAATAAACTAGCTTCAGAATTCCCTTTATCAAGCCATGCCTGTAAAACAGATAACAAGGAACTCATTAACAATCACTGACTGAATTATTAGGAGTCACAGCTAAATACCTGCCAGATGCCTGATGTTGAATCTAAAATTTTAAGTTGGTACCACTAACATTACAAAATTTTGTAACTAACTTTGATGATACTACCATACACTACAGTCATAGGTTCAGCATTTTCTGTAATAATATCATCATGACAATGAGATGCATAGCTGTATTAAAAGCATATTAAAGAGATCAAAATAATAAATTATTGTTAATACTTTTGATGATTGACACTTTGTAGTTTTCCATGACTAATAAGGAATGCTGCAACTAAACAAATAAACTCATTAGGAATGTGTTCATAGTGGCATGTTCATGTGTTGCACAAACTGATAGCTTGATATTTTTGGCAGTAAGAAATGCCAGCAATACTGGAAATTGGAAAATTTATTCTGAAATCTAGTTTTGAGCATGATAATGATGCTTAAAAATAGAAACATCATTAAAATAGCTCTAGACAAAAAAGAATCATATTATTACGGCACGATCAAATTAGATCCTCCTTTATTAATCATGCTTGCAAATTAAAATTTTTAACACAGCGAATACTGCAGTCGCAAATTTATGTCTCGACCTACAGTATTTTAGACTTCTACTACTTTTAATTTTGGATAATAATATATACTGTAACAGTACCAGCTTGAATTGTCATGTGTTGAAATTAATCGTAGCACAAACAGAATAAATTAATATGCACGAGACCAGTGAAAATGCTTACAATCAATGTTAGGAAAGTGAGGTGAATTTTCTTTTGATGGATACACAGTGACAAGATTTGATTCAGAGCTAGATAAGAGTAATACCGTAAATTATTAGTCGAAAACGATGCTTTTACCTGACAGGTTCACTGTATACATATCCAGAGGCTTCTAGGCAATAAAACAGCAAAGCATCTCCATCAAACATAGACAAAGCATCAGAGGATGCCGTAGTGGCCATTACCCCAGCTGACCCTAGAGAGAGCAGCTCTGAGCTGAGTGCCAGTGGGTGATTAATTACTAGTCTAATAATTAGATATGTGCGCAGGTGTGGCTAGCTCTAAGTTGTCATCATGGATCATATCATAGAATGGCAGTGCCCAGTCTGTACCCTGCTGAATAAAGCTAGTGCTTTCAAGTGTCGTATGTGTGGCACAGCAAAGGGAACATCAACTAGGCAGAGCAAGTATGAAAATTTTGTAAAACTATTACAATTAAAATCATTTAAAATTTAAGAGATGTTTTACCTTAAAACTTTTCTACTCTTGTTAAGACTCAGACATGCATATCAATTTGGGTATGATTTATTCCTTTCTGAGAGAATTTGATGGTGACGAGATGTATTGATACTTATATTTTGAATAATATACATGTTTTATGTGATAATTATGTTTTTTATATTCTTTCTTATAAATTCCTTAATAATAATAATAATAATAATAATAATAATAATAATAAAAGTTGTCGCAATTATCTAAAATTATGTGCTATCATAGGATGCCTTTTTAGGGCTGTAAATTTTGTGAATTGGCCTAAAAATCTGTTTTGCTGATTTAATTTTTGCGAATTTATGCTGTCTGCCATCTTGTGTTGTAATAATTTGATTTTCACGCAAGTAATTTTTGTGAATCTTCAAAAATCACGAAATCCACAAAATTTACAGCCCTAAAAAAACCTGTGCTGCGGTATTGTTGAGTATCAGTAGAGGAAGAATTGGACTCTCAAAAGTATGCAGCATTTTCATTTGTTAACCTAATGGTTTTCAAAGCCTTACTTTGTTGTGATGCATGTACTCATTTGTAAAGTTATTATGTAGGTCTTACTTATATTTATTTGTTGCATCAAATTTTGCATTAGTAGCAGCTTTTTTCATTAAGCTAGTACAGCCTAGTATGCAGTGTTGTAAAATGTTGGCAGTGTTGTGATTTAGTTATTTAATTAACTATAATAAAATTTGTACAAAAATAAAATACTACTAAAAATCATTGTTGTGTTTTTATAAGAAACTATAATTACTTTGGCAAATTAATTATGTTATTTAGTCCTATACCTTTGACCCTCATGCACTGGACTCAAGACTGTGATCATACTATGATCATATAGCTGCCACTTTAATTTAAATGTCCAACAATAATTATAAATTCAATATTTTGTAAATTGCACTTGAAAACTAATGTCTTGTACATATTTGGAGTTTGACAAAACAGGTGTATAACTATAAAGGCAATGTTGGCACAATAAAAAAGTCTATACAATTAATTAGTCCAATTAACACGTAATTGTATCCTAGCTTAGAGAAATTTAGTATTGTGGAGTTTATTGTTGCATCATAATTTGCCCTCAAAATTCAGTTTATTATAGTTAAAAATTGTCTTGTTCACTACATGAATCTAATAATAATAACTGTTAGACAATTTTAAGAGCAAAACAATAAATTACATGGTTAATGCCTCAAGTTTTATAATGATTATTATGGCTAATGTAGTGTTTCATAATTTTTTTAGTTTAAGAATCTAAAATACCTTTCTAGGCATACTGTTACCTTTCAGCAACAATTCTTAGCAGAAACACTACATAAAGGTGCTAGGAGTTATACTAGGAGCTCATCTCTTCCTGGCTGTAGTAATACTGTAGCTTCAACCAGTAAAAGAAAACTTAAAGGGAAGGCCAGCAATAAAAGAAATAGTACTCACAGATCCTGGTGAGTTAGTCTTTTCATTGAGTAACACTTGTTCATTTTGTGTTTTAAACTTGAGAATTATTTCACATAATACATGTACTGTAAGTAGCTAAGTGTCAACTTTTGTAACGTGCATTGAATACCCATTCTATAGTTATTGTTGTTCAAATTGTTTTCCTGGAACCGTCCTAACAGTTTTACAGTATTTCAACACATGGGTAGCACAAAGCTGTGGTAAGCTTGAAGCTGTTGTATACTTCATTGACAACTAATAGGAATAGAATTGTCACTGTTACATACGATAATGTACTCTTTTTGTTTTATGTTTTACACCTATTTCTCATATTTTTGTTGACTTTGGTGTAAGTACTTCGGTCCACTCAGCCCTATAGTTTTACTTACTACTTTATCCAGAATCCTTCAGGGGACTTACTTTGCAGCCTCTTTTGACAATATTAGCATTATTATTTCATTTCTTGTTACTTTTCTCTCTTTATAGGCCGACATTAAATGACATAGACAGATCAACAGGAAAATCTTATTCAGTAACTGTAGGATCAGTGACTGTAGTGATTACAGAGTATAGACAACTTACTTCAAATAGGTAGTAGTGGACATAACATCTGTATGATTATAACTATGATGCTAATGTCTAATGAAAAATTATGTATAGTCTTGGGTGTGTTTGTGGTGTACTTATAATATCATGTCTGCGATGAGGTCATACAATGAAATCATAGTCTGTTGTATGGTGTACATGTCATAATGTCTAGTAGTAGCAGTTGCAATGTTGAAGTCTTGTAATATTATAGTATTTTCAGTTATTGCAACCAATTAAAAGTGATGATTAATTATGTGTATAAACTCTTAATATCAATGCATTAATGAAAAAGTACCATTGTCTTGTGTTAATATCAATAAGTGATATGTATCCTGTGTTCCCACTACACAGTAGTAGTCTGTATTGTGTCAGTAGTACAGAACTTGGCTAAAATGTCTTGTATAGCTACAGTTGGTTTATGAAAATGTGCTTTTGTACAAAATATTGCATTCACTGTAACTTTATGTATCAAGTAGTAATTGTAATCAGAGGACAGTTACTCATCAGGATGATTTCAAAGGCAAGAGTAATTACATTCTGATATGTAATTGGCGATTTTAAAAATGTTGTTGATTCAGAGGCCTTTCTTAGTAGAAACACTAACTTCCAATCTTAATTCCTCACCAATAAATCATCTTATATATACATCATTTCACACTGATCTGACTGTAATTATGTGTTATGCAATAATTATTTTTACTAATCAATAAGGCATGAAGATTCAATAGACTTTAAGATTAAAATAATAATAAACTGAGTTAATTACAGAAAAATAATTATGATAGTAATGTTTACGATGTCCAATAAATTAATGAAAGTATAACTATAGGTTTTAAATAAAAGGTCATACATAATTATACGTAGCTAATAGAGTTGTATTAATAATAGTAGTTTGATATAGAGTCACATGAATTATGTGCGCTGCTTCTTTGTTGGAGGCTCTAATTCCAAATCTAGCACAAAATACATGTACAATGAAATTCATCTAATCATTATAATTATTATTATTCTTACCTGAGTTTGCAGTTCCTAAACTTGAAGTTGAAACAGCTGTAGATTCAAAACCAGCTTTAGCCATAGCTGAGAACTATTTAAATTCCATGATGATTGTTATTGCATAATAATGTGATTATTCTTACCTCTGTCATAACAGCAATAGGAGTTTTCCCTGTAGCACGTGCCACCTTGTTCTCAATAAGATAAAACATGTATTCGTCATACAACAGACGAATTAGATGAAATGATCCGAAACTGGCTGCACTGCGTAGAGTGAGATCTCTAATGACCATTGAGCTACAGAAGTTGTATGACCACATATAAATGATAACAGAAACATACCTGTAGAAGGACCACTTCAATAAGAATTGCCTTGCAGCCTTTGGGTATTCAGGAGTGTCTTCATGAGGCTGTAGAACAGTGGTAACAACACCTTCAAGCCACACTGCCCACTGCTCTAGTGAATTCTAAAACATAATAATATGATATTTTGTGCAATTATTGCCTTGATATGAGAACCTGCTGCTGTAAAGTATTCTTGAAATCCATCTCCAGGCGAGAAGCCAATGCTTCATCACATTGACACACCCAAGCAGCTTGCTCCTATAATTTTAGCTCTAAAGTAAATTGAAACATATTATAATGAGTACCTGAACATTGGCAAAATCAACCCGGTTTAAATCATTAATCATTTGATTAATTTGTGAGGCATTCTGAAGGACAGCACGTGCAGCTTGTGCCAGATGATTGAGAGAAGTATACCTCCTCAGTGTTTGCGAGAAAGCAATTACTGATGATACCTACGACACATGATCTTATAAACACTCAAGAAACCTTATCAATGACACCTATTGGTTGTGGTATTATAACAAAGAACAGTTAAAGACTGCAGTCTTGTAAAGTTATTTTATCATTCTTAGTTCAAAGACACTAAAGAATTTGCAAAATTTGTATAATTACATGTACATGTACATGTAGTAAGCTAGTGGGTGTAAGCCAATTGGTCCATACCTATCACAATGGTTTTTGTATTAAAAAGAAGGAACAATGACCAAGGCATATGATGATAATATGTATGTCTACATTACTCTGTTAGGAAGGTGATTATAAGCTAGTTGAATGCACTAGTAAGACAAACAGTATAAGAACGTTGGCAGTGAGTGAGTAACAGTGGGTAGTGTAAACCCAAACAATTTAAAAATTATCTCGTTGTAAATGGTCTGTGAAATTAATAGTGTCAATTGTGCATCACTGTCAGACAAGTGCCATAGCATCAGACACTTCCATTTCCTTTACAAATTTCCACCAGACAACAAGTAGTAATTACATATGAAGTAGCAATACCAGAAGCCATAGAAACTAACCTTAGCCTGAACACACTTGACAGGATAACCTTCTAGACAAGAATTCATCCAGTTCTCCAAATTCTTTGCAAAATTGCGTATTGATTGTGTCAGAGTAGCAGGTATTGGTCGAAGGACATTACTAATGAGAAAGTTAACAATGCACTGGTAGAGGATATGGTCACAGGCCACCAAATAATCCAGCAATGGCTGACAAGATGTTAGTACAAACAACTTTTCTCTGGAGAGTCTGTGATCCTGATCATCATCTGCCTGTATGTCACTATTAGAAAATAAATAATAATGCTTCTGAATTGAACCTGCTCTACCTTGATGAGCGAGATGTATCCACCCAAAATGCTTGCCATAAGTTTTCAACCATTTGAAACTGGAGATTAGCTACAACATCAAGTATAGCCTAAAGAAAAAGGTCAAGGTCACTAAGAGCTAACAGACACAACGAAAACACACCTCACAATGCTCCCGATACAGAGCCACAAAATCAGAAATGTCTTCATTTGAACAAACAGTTCCATCTTAATGTTCAGAAAGGAAATAATTATACTATAATTGATTTGCTTTACCTAAAGCAACTTGTCCCTCCCAGTCAAGGTCAGGAAATTGATCCAATTCTGGTCGGTGGTCTCCCAAATATTGCTGATGCTGCTGATGGGGTGTAAGATTGGCTGCAGAATCTATTCCACCGTCACCACTTCCGCCATCACCATTAGAAGACTCCCTGCATAATAATGTGTTTTGTAAGAATAAGCACTTGTGTTAAGTAATTATCGCATGCTACTGAACAATGGGAACAAAGTGTTGAAATGACACTTACCTGTTTGTGACTGCATGGCAATAATTAAGAAAGTGAAAATACATGTACATAGCGTTTAACAATAATATTATGTTCATGTACTTAATAGTACATGAGTTCATGTAGTGCAGTTATGAGTTCATGCAGTGCAGACTGTGCAGTTAGTTGATTACAATTGTGTACCTTGAAGCTGTAGTAGGTTGTCTCATAGCAACTGATGGACTATCTTCCTGTGGATACGTATTGAGTGGTGAATCAATTTTTATGCGAATGCCATAATAGTGATACTTAGAGTTTCCCCTGTTAGCTTAATAATTAGATATGTAGAGAAACAAGTGAACGTTTACCTTGTACCAAGTCTTCTTGTTTTCAATCCAATAAAGACCGATCTGATCAGTTTTCCAAAACTAGCAGCATTGATTGCATCTATTTTACTAGCAGCACAGTGACGAAGGTAGTGATTATAGAGTGTGCTTCGTGGTAAGCTAACCCCCTCAGCTGTCTCGTAGTTATCTAAAAGCCATTTTATCTAGCATTGAAAAAAAGATACCATTGATGTGGGTAATGTAATTAATGGCACATCATGCTCACTCAATATACTATTACTAATGATAATGAAGAAAGTGTGCCCTTGCATGTGCGCATCCCACCAGTGCACTTACAGTGTGGGGGTCAGCTCTAGTACTGGCAGAAATAGAGTTAGGTCCTGCATATCTATCAGCTCCTCCTGACATGATCTGCTGTGAGTATATTGATTGTGCTTGTGAGAGATCATATCCAGTTGTTGCAACAACATGACCAGCTATTGGTGTCGTTGATATTGGTTGAGTAATAACTTGAGTGACATCGGTATTGAATGGAGTGACATACTGAGCTGAACTAAAGATAAAAATAGATGATAACTGATCAATACATTATGTTTAATTACTGCACTAGTACTACTGATAGTGTCTTAGCAACAATGCAATTATACAAACAATGAAGCTGTCGAAAAGCAAGCAAAATAATTCGCAAATGCTATTGCAGGAAAGCACTCTGTTGCTGCGGCTGATACCTAGGATAATCTGGATCTGGCTTGAGCGGTACACTGTAAAAGCTGGACTGAGCCGGGTAGTAAAATCCAGGGATGCTCGGCGGAGGTATGAATGGGAGTGGAGGACCAGATGTGTGCGGAGACTGCATAACGCTATACATCAAGCAAGATAAGTATAAATGCAAAGAAAAGCAAAGATCTTGGGCTTTTTATTGCAACCCAGAAGCTAGACCTCGTGCTTTTGGCCATCAAAACGTTGCTAGGGGAGACGATCAATCTGCGTGGGCGGGCTAGCGGTTGCCATGGGGCAGGCTATAACTTTTATTGCATGCGTAAATAAAAATACATAATCATTCTTCATAGAAGAGATGGACGAGTAACCTCCAGGATAAAGTTCTAGCAGCCTTATTTTTCCTTGTAGTAAATATATTCCAGAGCTTCAGTAGTACACCACTTTAGTGATGATAGTGCAGTGATAGTACCTGATGTGATGATGTCACTCTTAGCTCAGCTGTATCTCAAACTGACCACAAGGAACAAGATAAAAGGGCATGCTATGTGCATTAATAAAACTGGATTCACCCACTAAAAGCACTGAAAGAATTGTAGACAGATTGTCACCATCAAACTGGTGGTGGTTTTTTATTATACTGAGAGTATGATAATACTCAAATATTATTGATTGACACGACAATGATGACATGCATTTGTCGTTTCTTATAGAGAAGCAAGACTTACATTCGTCCTTGTGGTTGATTTGAAGAATTAGTGGCAACAACAGTAACATTCTGAACAGCTGAAGGCACAACGATACTTTGTGCAGTTGGTAAAGTTGATCGTATACTCTGTAATAACTGCTGCTGGCAAGCAGCCAAAACCTCTTGTTGCCTTGTGACTGGAAGGTTGGCAAAAGCTAATTGTGCTGTAGCTATTTCTTGCCCTAACAATGACTGGACAGCTATATTCTGGTCAGAACTTTGCTGCAGAACTTGAATTTGTACACCCTGTGTACCTGGTGTAGCCATTAGCTGGCCCTCCGTTGTAGGGGAGCCAGAATCATCACTAGGAGAATCTCCGCTGTCATGAACGGATGACTGCTGACCCAGAAGGTCTTGATGTAAGCTATGATCACTCATAGCAGTGCTACAGAAAGAAAAATTGCATATACAGTATACAATAATACACGAGTGACCATAATTATGTCGTTATGTACTACTACCCAAAAATCAACACTTTATCTATCATTGTTTAGTCAGTATTGTTTACAGTCAATAATTCAAAAAATAGGGCTGTGCATGGTTTGTACAGGGGTGCCATTGCACAAGTTATATAACTATAGTTTAGACTACCAGGTGTTCCCAGGACAACCTCCCAGAAGCCTAGCAACCCCCTAGAGACAACTTGTACGGTGAGGAATGCACTGCACACGCAAACACACATACACACAGACTTGTGACAAAGATGGCTATCATCTCTCACAAAGACCACCTAATCTATTAGTTCTAAAACAATACCTAGGAACTTTGAATCACAGTTTGTGTTAGTGAAAATCATATATTGCCGCACCTTTTACAGTTGTCCGGTCGTCCTGACTACAGTCACCAAGGAGAGAGCCTGTTGCTAAGGGAGCAGCCCGCCCGATCCGAAGGAGACAATCAAGGGGTGTAACAATAAAATCACCTGTCCGTATAAATCCGTATAAATCCGTAAACTCTATTCTGACTAACTGCGCATGCTCAGAAGAACCCGGGAATGACCTAGTGCGCATGCTCAGCACTCGGCATCCATTATGATTCGCGCCAACTGACTTGGGAGGAGATCATTTTATTGAAGCTGAAGAGAGGGAAAATGTTTATTAAAAGCATAGTAATTGATGGTTTTAAGTCATATGCTCACAGGACTGAAGTTGGCCCCTTTGACCCTCAGTTTAATGCCATCACTGGCCTAAATGGAAGTGGAAAGTCGAATATTTTGGATTCTATCTGTTTTTTATTGGGAATTTCAAATCTGTCTCAGGTATGGTATTAGTATCTAGAAGTGGATCATAGTGGATTCGTTTTGAAGGTTCGTGCAGGGAGTCTTCAGGAGCTGGTATATAAAGGAGGACAGGCAGGTGTTACTAAGGCGACAGTGACCATAACGTTTGACAATTCAGATAAGAAACAGAGTCCTGTGGGGTACGACTCATTTGATGAGATAACTGTATCACGACAAGTTGTTATTGGTGGACGTAACAAGTACTTAATCAATGGCAGTAATGCTCCACCCACTCGTGTTCAGGATTTGTTTCGTTCTGTTCAATTGAATGTGAATAATCCTCATTTTCTTATAATGCAGGTATGTGCTTAAATTTAAAATGTAAATTCTTAAAAATACATAAGTTGAAAAATACACGATCATTTCTATATCTTGTTATGTATTTATATTTTTTAGGGAAGGATTACTAAAGTTCTGAATATGAAGCCAGTTGAAGTAAGAATGATATTTGTGAATCCATTTCTTTATATACTGTGTGATGTATTGTACAGATATTGTCAATGATTGAAGAAGCTGCTGGGACAAGAATGTATGAAAGCAAGAAAATATCTGCTCAGAATACAATTGTGAAGAAGGATACGAAACTATCAGAAATTGATAAGGTTTCTTATTAATGGATGTATATTGTACATACATTTGTACTGTTACTGTATATATATACACTTACATGTATGTGGTAATTTTCATTGTTTGTGAAATTTCATGGTGTTCTTGCTCTCCATTAATCTATAAAACTTAAACCACCTCTAATGCAACTCTTTTGTGCCAAGTACACAAATTCTAAGTTCTGAGCACTTTCCTTGTGAAAGCATGAATTATTTGAATATTTCCAAGTTACATGTACATGTATTATGATAATTAGGTTGTGTTTGATTTTTGACTATAGTAAATCTGTTTGTCCTTTAAAAATGTAGGGCTAAGTTTTTTGGTTGCCATTTCTCATGATACATGTCATTTCAGTGAATTTATTGAGTACTTAAATAATGTCACATATCAGAGATTTCAAAATAGTGCAAATAGGTTATCTAAACTGTACTATGCAACCAGTACATGTAACCATGGTAAGTGTAATTATTAATAAATTCATGCAATATTTAGAATAGCTACTATTATAATGTTGACAAACAAATATTCTTTAATCCAAACATGTACATGTTGATTAAGGCACATTGACACATTTACACTGTAAACATTATAATAGCTAGTAGAAACCATTGCATTTTGACCTAAAGTGCTTAGACCACAATTATGTGTGCACTATGCAGTTCTGATTGCGTCATAATCATGTTTGGAGGCTAAATCTCTGAATGTATTACTATGCAGTTACAGTAATGTTTTTTTATGTTTTATACTATAGATAATTGGTGAGGAGATCACTCCAACATTAAAGAAGCTTAAAGAAGTAAGTTTTACAGAGTATACAGTAATTTATATTTTGACCCTTTAATTCCACCCCTTTATTTATTTTGATTCTTGCTTTGTTTGAACATGGTTTGAATATGCATGAACTTTTGTACATTCCACAGTCCACACATTATGATAATGGTTGACTGATTTGAATGCATTAGATCATCCATTTTTAATTTTATCTTATGTTTATGTTGATTTTTTTTTGATATAGGAAAGATCATCCTATTTGGAGTATCAGAAAGTGTCAAGGGAATTGGAACACTTGTGCCATGTAGTTATTGCATACAGCTTTGTGAAAGCTGAGGTAAAGGGCTGTTGTGCAATGAATTGAATGAACATACAAATGTATATGCATGATGTGTAATTGGTATTGTATTCTTACATGTACAGATGTACATGTATATCTTTTTAAAAGCTAAGATTATTGTATGTACATGTAGGAACGAAGGAAGGTCCTTGTTGTAGAATTAGAAACTGCTAAGTCTGCTGTAGCACATTGCAATGAAATGTCAATAGAGGTTAGTGCAAAGATAATAGTAATTTACAATGTTTAATTTGTTACATGTACAATGTAGATTAACGAGTCTATTGTTGAAGTTAAGTCAGCTATTAAGGATATTCGAAAACAACGAGAGGATGAGGAACATGATGGGCCATTAGGAGATTTGGAGAAAAAGTCAGATCTTACAACGAAAGTATGACAATATGTGCTGTAAACTGGAATGATAACTAATTGCTAATAGGCATTGGCTCTAGCTGAGTCAACTCTTAAACATACACAGACACAAATAGCAAGTGAACAGAAAAGTTATGCTGAGTTGCAAAAGTCCTTGAAAGATGTAAGCTTATTTACATGTATCTTCTCATGCATGCATACCGGTCTATCTTTTAGGATGAAGATTTGATTTCAAAAAGGAGGACGGAGGCTGCAGAATGTCAAAAGTTATGTGATTCCTTAAAGCAGAAACTCATTGATGCTCAACAAACATTGGCTAATTCACAGAAGCACTTTCAAGCTGTCTCTTCTGGTCTTTCTGGCTCTTCTGACGGCCAGGCTGAAAGTTTATCAGCTCAAAAGATTGGTATGCTAGGCAGAGCTGGCAATAGTGGGGGGGCAGGTGGGGGCATTTTGCCCCGGACCCCCAATCAAAGCCTCTGGTCAATAGTAAAGTACTGTATACAGGTGTAGTTTTTACAGAAAAAGATCAATGAATCATGGCAACTCTTTTAAGTTAACTTTTGCTGGGCCATTTTGTTAATCAGTACTGTTATTAAAGGGAATTTGTGGGAATTTGTATTAATTGGGGTCATCAAAGTTTTTTTGCCCTGGACCCTACGAAGCCTATTGGCGGCCCTGATGCTAGGCCTCTACTACATGTACATGTCTGTATGGCTAGACAGTACTTTAGTCTTATAGTGTAGTCTGTTTAGCACCTGTGCATGTACATTAATTATTTGTTAAATTGTTTGTGTTTCTGCATGATTTTATTTAATTTTTTTAGCTAAGGAAAATGAAGTAGCTTCTGTTCAGACTACGGTAAAGCAGTCAGAAATGAGGTTTGTTATACAATGTATAGTAGTGTTCACAATGTAGATCAATGATGTTATATTAATATGTACACAATGCTCATGTAGGCTGCAGAATTTGAAGACTCAGCTCAAGGATCAAGAAAAGGCATTCAAGAGTGGTAGCAAAAGTTATGCTAGTGATAAAGCAGCTTATGAATCTGTCAAGAAGGAAATTGCTAAACTGGAAGCTTCTATAAGCAGGTTAAATTATAGTGAAGGACAGTATGAAGATATGACACAACAAAGGTACAAGACATTAGCATGAACAGACTTTGTTATGCAGTGGACATTGTAGGGAAATTTTGAAGCAAGAAATATCTGAAATAAAAAGGAAGATTGGTGTTCTTGGATCAAAGTAAATTTTATACGTGTACATGCACCTACTTTTGGGTTGTAAAGGATCAAAATAATTATTATGATTTAATATTTCTACATTGTAGGTTTCCACATCTTCAGTTTGAGTACTCAAATCCTTCCTCTACATTTGATAGAAGTACAGTAAAAGGGCCTATTGCAAAATTATTGAAAATGAAGGATGAAACTGCTGCCACAGCACTTGAAGTCACAGCTGGTGGAAAGGTACAGTATACCCTCCCTAAATCCTTCAACTTTCATGATGAATGTACTGGCGACAATTTATTGTTATGCATTATTTTGCTAGTTGTTTCATATTGTGGTGTCAAGCGAAGAGATTGGTAAACAGTTGTTGCAGCATGGACGTCTGAAGCGACGATTTACTATAATTCCACTGAATAAGATTGTTGCTAGAAAGATTGCAAATGATGTTGTTAAGAGAGCACAGCAACTAGTGAGTAAAGTTGTTTTACGTTGTTTGCATGTTCATATATTTATTATAGGTAGGTCCTGAGAAGGCAAAACCAGCTTTATCATTGATTGACTATGATGCTGAACTTCAAGCTGCAATGGAATTTGTATTTGGTACAACTTTTATTTGTGAAACACTGGATGACGCTCAACAGGTAATAAAATACTTTTACACATGTACATATACATGCATGTATAGTGCGTGTTGTACATTAAGGCTGGTTCACAATATTATGCTAGTCCTGACGTTACGTTAATCTGGATCGATTCCAGCGGAAAGCATGCATCAAAAGGTCAAATTGCCCACACTTTTTATTAAAAATTGATGGTATGTTGGCCTAGCGTCATATTATGAACCAGGCCTTAGATGCATTATACATGCATGCTTACAGTATATGTGCATTTTATTTAATGTTTCAAATGTCTGTTAAGCACAGAATAATGTAAGGTAGCATATTTCAGTTCCATTATACATGTACATGTAAAATTAATACATTTTGTATATTACATTAGTCTTTATCCTGCATATAATTTTTGATAGGTCACTTTCAATAAAAAGATATTAACGCGCTCTGTAGCTTTAGCTGGTGACGTATTTGATCCATCAGGAACCCTTACTGGAGGTACATGTACATGTATATACATATACACGTAGATGTACATGTGTGTACATGTAGTATGAGTTAAAGAGCATTCGTGTGGTATTACTGTACATGTACAGTATACTCTATTATACAAGCGTAACAGTGTAAAAATATTCCTATAATTGTTTTCACTCCCTTGCAAGTACAGCTGGGTTCTTATGACGACTTATGAAGGTTCTCTCTACCTTCTAATGCTTCCAGAAAAGACTTTAGACAGTATCTCTATGTTCTCTTGCTGTTAGAAAGTTCATAACTTTGTCCCATGAGCAAACCGCCATTTTTGTTTGCCGTGACCACACCCACTTACGTAATGTGGGCTGGTGGTTGCTAAGGCTTGTTATTTCTCCAATACAATGTGTATAGAAGAAATGTAAGTGTGGACATACAAATAAATATATAAATAAATATAATAGCGTGATGGTGATATAAATTATTGGACGACCTGGGGGCTACGCCCCCAGGTTGTAATAAATTGTAGCATTGTAGACCATCCTATATACTATATGTATATCATAATATTAGGATCTCGTCCTCATGTATCTTCTCTATTGGTGAAGCTACAAGAACTAGCTGAATGTGAAGAACAACTGGAAATGAAAAGTTCTGAATTAGATAAGCTTAACAGTAGGATAAGTGAAGTAGAAATTACTTCAAAAAAGTAAGAGTTAGTGCATACTCATGATGTCATTAATGTACATGCACACATGTACAGGTATGTAATAATTTTTGTTCAGTGCTTATGTTGTATAGTCATGTACATACATTGTACGTGTATATGTTATATTTTATTTGTGCATATAGATATGTTGAGTTGAAGGATGAATTAGATAAACAGTCTCATGAAGCTGAAGTGTTGTGGGCTCAATTGGAACAAAGCTCTCATCACCAACAGTTAATGCAATGTGAACAGTTAAAGGAGTCTATCAAATCGCAAGAGTCTGTATTAGCTGTTGCATTAGAATCTGAAATATCACTTAAAACACAATTGAAAGAATTAGAGCATAAAATTAAGGTTTGTACATGTACTTGTAGTATGAGTTATAGAGCATTCATGTGGTATTACTATTGCAACATGCAGCGTTTTCAGTGATGCATTCATGTACTACATATAATGCAATAATATATACATGTACACATACATGTACATGCACATGTAGTTGCAAATTTGCAAAAGAAACTTTTCGGTTCATGTTTTTGAAGCATGTTTTGTTTGCAATCATGTATCATGTATTATATATGTACATGCATTATATATGTACATGCATTGTAATTTGTATATACATATATATGTCTATAAAAATTGTGTAATAGAATTCAAAGAGCCTTCAAAAGAAAGAAATTGAAGAAGCCGAGAATAAATTATCAGGAGCTAAAGAAGAAGCCGATAAGGCTGCTCAAGAAGCTAGCAAGAGTGAACAGGAATTGGAAGGACTTCAATTGGAAATTAGTGAACTTGAATCTAGTGTTAATAATCAGAAAGCTCAGGTACTAATTTACTATAAATTTATTCTTAATTGTGATTGATCTACACATACTGTACATTTACAAGAAATAATTTCACATGTAATGGTAAACAGCGGTAATTCCTGTATATATAGGAAATATGTTACATACATGTATTTTACTAATAGATCGAGAAGATGTCAAAAGTTTTGAATGATATGAAATCTTTACTATCAGAAAATGAAGCATCTCTTCAAGCAGCAATGGTAAGTTGTATGGATCGAAATGATGCACTGACCACTAACTAGGTGTAGTGTATACATGTACATGTAGTTTACAAGTATTTTGTCTAGACTGAGATGGAAGAAGCAGCTAAGGAACTGGCACAGTTTAAAGAAATCCTTAATGAGAGAAACAAGGTTATAAATTTTTTATTTTAGGTCCGAAAAATATTGTTGTGTGACTTAAAATGGTACAATGTACATGTAGTTACCATGGTAAATAAATTTATGTACTTTAGTATTTTCTGAAGATTAAATTTTGAACGACCTGGGGGGCATAGCCCCAAGTCGTTCCTATAATTGATTTTATCCATGTGCAATGTTTGTATATACATGTATATATATTTGTATGTCTACACTTACATTTCTTCTATACATGTATTGGAGAAATAACCAGCTTTAGCAACCACCCGCCCATGCTCCTTTACGTTAGTGGGCATGGTCATGACAAACAAAATGGAGGCTTACACACGGGACAAACTTTTGTGCTTTCTAACAGCAAGAGAATTTAGAGATACTGTTTACAAACTTCTCTAGAAGCATTAGAAGGTAGAGAGAACCTTTATCTTAATAAGTGCCTAGCTATGCATGCAAGGTGGTGAAAACAACAGTGTAAAATATTTTTTACACTGTTACGCTTGTTTTGTTGATACTGACATGGTGCCATGTACATGTATATGTATGTGTACATTCAAGTACTCTACTAGCTACTGTGTTTTTGTATGTTTTCCGTTATGTCTTGTTCTTATTGTGGTTGGTTCAGAATGTTTTCATTGTGACTGAAAGTGATGCATGAATATATGATTCATGATGCATGAGTAAATGAAGGAATACATTTTATTCTTCTGTTTAGCAATTTACTCGTGTAGTACATACTGTACATGTATATAGTACTGCTGGTTGAAAAGAAATTGTTATGCACTATACACTTTTATTCATGTATGCTCTAAAATCAGTGATGAGACCTAAGCTCATAGTAAGCTGGCACATGTTTTTATAGGAACTACAGCAACAGGAAAAGAAATTGAAAGACCTTGAGGCAAAGAAGTCAGAATTGGCCATTAAGCTTAAGGAGAATGAACACAAAGTATCAAGCTGTGTTAGGGATGGTAAAGATGCTGAACGAGAGGTACATTACATGTACATCTCAGAAGTACATGTACATGTGCATCTAGTCAAAATACTGCTTGATGTACATTGTGCATGCATGTATTGTACATGTATCTTAATTTATTTTAGGTTGAAACCTTACTAGAGAAACATGATTGGATTGCCTCAGACAGACAGTTTTTTGGTGAACCCAATACTGGCTATGATTTTAAGAAAACTGATCCTAAAGAAGCTGAAAAAAAGATAGCAAAGCTTCAACAACAAAAGGTATATACATGTATGTTATGTTGTACAATGTACATGTATATGTACATCTGTATGTATGTGATCACTTTTTGAGCATGAAGTCAAGTACATGTGTACATGTAGTAAGCATTTTGATCTTTTTCAGTCAGCAAAAAGTTTTTTCATTCATAATGACATACTGCATGTTCATACATTTTTGTGTAAGTTTGAATTGCAAATCAAAATATATCAAATACATGTATATTTGAAAAATTAAGGACCATCTTTGCTTAGTACAGAAGGCGTACAAATTGAAATATGCTTAGGGTATAGTACATGTACATGAATGACTTGGTATGTTTTTGTGGCTTTGAGCTCAATTATTATCCTGGTAGCTAGGATCCACGCATGTACATTTTTTACATGTACAGGCCTTCATCTAGGATTTCTTACAAAGGTGGGCAAGATTAAAAATATTTCAAAGAAGGGGGTTATTAATACTTTCTATTGTGCATGCACAATGTGTGCTCACAACACTTACAGTCAATCAAGGGAAGGCAAGTGCCCCCCCTCCGTAAATGAAGCCATGATGTACTGTACATGGTTAAATTTTAATGTTAAGTTTTGCTGTTATATGTTTTTGTTAGGAAAAGCTGAGCAAGAATGTAAATATGAGAGCAATGAACATGTTGGGCAAAGCAGAAGAAAAGGTTATTAACTATTATAATGACAAATACATGTAATTTGACTTTTAGTACAATGATTTGATGAAGAAAAAGAAGATAGTTGAGAATGACAAGGCGAAGATTGCAGAACTCATACAAGAGTTAGATCAGAAGAAGAACGAAGCACTACAAACAGCCTGGAGTAGAGTTAATCGGGTTAGATTGTCTGATGTACTAATTGTGGGCAATAATGGATTTATAGGATTTTGGTAGTATATTCTCCACTCTTCTTCCTGGTTCCTCAGCTAAACTGTCTCCACCTCAAGGACTTACTGTATTAGATGGTTTAGAAGTGAAAGTTGCATTTGGAGATGTCTGGAAAGAAAGTTTAACTGAACTCTCTGGTGGTCAGAGGTCAGTGTTGTGTAATCTGGTACTTATTCTGTTATAACCTGTTGACACCAAGTGAAAGCCTTCATTAACTTTTTGCAATATTAATTGTACATGGCATGATGATAGCCTTTGATCTTTGATGATTGTTATTATTGTAAAATATTTATAATGGTTTATATTTTTTATTATTTTTGTACATACTAGGTCATTGGTAGCTCTGTCTTTAATATTATCATTGCTACTTTTCAAACCAGCTCCTCTTTATATTCTTGATGAAGTTGATGCTGCTCTAGATTTATCTCATACTCAGAACATTGGTCAAATGCTTCGTACCCATTTTCATCATTCACAATTTATTGTTGTTTCTCTAAAGAATGGAATGTTTAATAATGCAAATGTCCTATTTAAAACAAAGTTTGTTGATGGTGTTTCAACTGTTACCAGGTAAACTTACAGCTATGAATGTGTATAATTAATTATTGATGTTATTTTCAATAGATATTCCACTCCAAATGCTCACTAGAACCAAATGCTCACTAGAAGAAACTCTCATGCATGATTCTCATTACCTTATCTGATTTATTATACAATTATACATGTTTTTTCTCATTAATTTCATGCTGATAAAGGAATTCATAGTTTGTATTTCAACTGTAAACACTGATGTGATGATATTGTAGTGAGCCACGCCCAGTCGTTTTGCAAAGAGTCTTGGAATGGAGGAGAGTATAGATGGATCAAGACGCCAATCGAAAAGAAAATTGACTGTTTGTGTCATTGGTAGTGGTGGGGTTGGTAAGAGCTCACTGACGCTAAGATATATAAATGGACACTTTCCAGAGGTAAGGATTGGGAGTTACCGGTAGTTAATAATCAGAAACTGTTTCTCTGTCTATAGTTTTATGATCCAACGATAGGTAAGCATTTGCACATACCATAGATATGGAATATGCACATACATACACTAAACTGTGGTTTTTACAACTTCCTGTTATGGCATTGCACTACTCTGTTTAATTTGTAGAGGAAAGTTATATAACTCAAATAGAGTATGGCTTCCATTTCCACGAAGTAGAGGTAATAGACACAGCTGGTCAAGAAGAATTCCTTTTATTCCGAGATTCATCAATGGCCCAAGGAGATGCTTTCCTTTTGGTATTTGCCATTGATTCGGTATCTAGTTGGGTACACCTGAAGGAACTCAGGAGTAAAATTGTTAGAGAAAAAGATGATGATGTTAGCATCCCAATGGTTGTAGTGGGAAACAAAAGGGTAAGCTGGGAAATTATGACTATAATTTTAGAATCAAACAATGATACTGTACATTGCTGATTGTGATTCTGCATTTCTGATGCAAGGTCATTTTAATGACTAATAGTATTTTAATGACCAATATATTTATTCTAATGACCAATTGTACCTCATGTAGCCAGCCATGCCTCTGCAAGTATGGAGGGTTTGGTCTGGCTACACAAGATATTTTAAAAAGAGACGTCAAGGCTCAAGTTCAGTTCTATTTTGTATTATTATTGTGCCCCTCATAAAAACTGCATCTCTTATAAGACCATGTACATTTTCTGGAACAAGAGGGCATAGCATCTCAAAAGTGGACTATACTCACTTGCTCAGGTCTCTTTTATTTAAAGTAGTCTGTTGCAGGGGTCTACTATATTTAATGACCAATAGTACTACTTGCACATGTACATTAATGAATTGCTTGTGTTTATTGCTTAGGATTTGGAGGAGGACAGACAAATACCATTGGAAGATGTTGTTGAATACTGTCAAAGGATTAAATGTCCCTTAATTGAGACTTCAGCAAAGGTAAATGGCCTATGCATTACACAAAACAATTTTAACTACTTATCTTCCAGACATCACTAAATGTAACCGAGAGCTTTCGAATGCTAATGGAACAAGTTGAAGAGCACAGACTTAACTTATTTATCGAATCAAGAATAAATGAAGATAACAATGAAAAAAGTAGAAACAAAGGGGCCTGTCGTACACAATGATTAATTGTTTATTATTGAAAATACCTATTTTTAACTATAATCCATATTCACAAGAAAATTCTGATGAAACAGTTGAATTAGGCATTGTTACGTTCATAGTTTGTGACTATCGAGCCTCATTCTTTACATCACCATTCATTCTGGCAATATCTCTCAATAAATTTTGAATGGCAGGATTATCATCACCCACTGCAACTGAAATGCACTGACATGCTTCTGACAACAGGCTTTCCAGTTGATTGATGCGTTGCTTTAATTCTTCATTGGCTCTCTTGTATTTGCAATTTTCTTCATGATCATCAAAAGGCACTGAAGTTGTGCTGCTGCTTGCATGCTGTGAAGTGCTAACCCCACCCATTCTTTTGTTTCTGTGGTATGCCATTATGCGTCTTGCTTCATCTTTAGATGGATGATAATATTTGCATGAAACACCACGGTTACAAACACCCTTCAAAAAGTCACGGCATGTAGTTTCAGCTAATTCTTCAATAGTAGGCTCAGCTGTGTTTTTATTGCTCAAATGCTCAGGTAAGCAACCAGTCTCAATGAACAATTCCTCATCACCTTTACCAGTGTGATAAAGCTTGCAAATAGAGCGACTGCAAATGCCTTCTTGAAAATCATGGCAAAAAATAGAGCGGCTCAAACATATTCTTTCATCTCTATTCTCAACTCTATCAACATGACGATGCTGGCATGATGGACCACGCATACATTGACCTCTCAGATAGTCAATGCATATATCACAAAAAAATAACTTGGATTTGTTGCGAGCAGACAGGGCATCACTGAAGAATCCATGCTCAATGAAAAACTTCTGTTCATCAATACTGGCATGTATATACTTGCAATATGTACGAGGGCAACGCTTGTTGAGAAAATCGTGGCAAAAAATGCTTTTTACAATAGAGTCACGATGACTCTTATCTTGAATTACATCAACATGCTCTAATCGGCAATCCTTTCCTTTGGCACATGTCCCCTTTAAATGATCAATGCAATAATTAGAGACAGTTACAGGCAGACTGCATGAGAATGAATCTCTGCTAAAATCATTCGATCTTCGCTTGCGAGAACGGCCTGACTCTTGACTACTGCCCCATGAAGGAGGCTGGTATCCATAATAATCATAGCTATTACCCCCATAAGTTGATGTGGGGTTAAACGATTGGTAATAATCAGAGCGTGAAATGCTTGATTTCTCACTTGCAAAGCTGCCATAGTTGGCAGTATTGGCAGTTTGAGCACGCTCACGACTGCGCTTAAAAATGGCTTGAGAAATGTTCCCAGTCAATAGAAATTCATCTTCCTCACTGCGTGTGACATGAAGAAATTTACACGTAACCCTGGCACAAGTCCCTCTGTTCTGAAAATCATGGCAAAACTTGCCTTTGGCCAGCTCTTCCCTGTCATCTAAATCTGGAATGTGATCTGCATGTAACTGGTCACATCTGGGGCCTTTAGAACAAATACCACGCAAGTGGTCAATACAAACAGATGCTTTCATAACTTTGCGCTTCTTTGGCATTGTATCGTGCTCTCTGTATGAGCCACCATAGTCAACAGTGCTCATAGAATACCCTCCATAACGATCATAGTATGCTGAAGCCCCAGCTGCCACTGGGTAAGCTGTAGAATAAGCAGAGGAGGAATAAGCTGAAGAGCTAGAGTACCCAGTAGGGCCGTATCTGTAACCAGCCGCCATTGCTAGAGCACGTGATCAACAGATCAAGTGCTACGTATGACGTATTATAGACCACGTGATCAAATTATGCGCATGCGTAGAAGAAAGAAAAATGGATGGTCAGAGGAGCTTGGACAAAGTATCAGCAGACTCTGATGGTAAGCCATTAGTTTTATATCAGTGTATTAGTCAGCTTCATTCTTCATGTATGTTAAATAAGCTTCATTATTCTGTTGCATGACTTTATACGAAGGCATTAAAGCCTTATTAAGTTTTTAGTCTTTCTCGTATGCTAAACGGGCCAGGCTGAAAGTAGCCACCTTTCTCTGCGTCTCAGGCATTTCATCAATTAATTGCAGGAACCATTTTTATGTTGAAAGGTGCAGCAGAGTAAGAGACTGCTTTTTAAGGGAATAGTGGTACATACAATTGCAAACAGGTTCATGTTCGTGAATATACACGATACATGTCTAAAAACCTTTTCCTGTGCATTGATCATTCTAGTAATAATGAATCTGTGTTATCCGTTTTGTTTGTGAATATGCTTTGCATGTACACCTTTGGACAGCTTTGAATTTACATGTACATGTACTTAATCACCACTCCTATTTCTTCAGAGGTCAAATTTTGAAGGCAAATATGAGGAAATAGAGCAATGTTTGATAGACATTAATTGTAATTTCTTCAAATATTACATGTATATTTGGCTACTACTTTTTATTAGTTGATATGGTTTGGCTAGCCAGAGCTGTACATATATTTGTGTATTATATCTGGTTGTAATACTGTACTTCATTGGAAAGATTTGATACCATACTGAATTGTGTTTCTACAGTACGTCCTCGATTATCCGAACACCTTTGTGCACTTCTAGTGGGAGAGATGTTCAGATAGCTGAAATAGTCTGAATAAGTGAAATGCAGCGCAGAATACAGTAGGCCGACCTATCCTATACTTTTTTGAAGGATAAATGTGCATGACTTTCCTTTCTCTAACTTGCAAACCATCTCAGGCTTCTCTTTAATGGCCTTCCTCTTGGTTAAGCTTGGTTAAGCTCCTTACTGCAGTAGCCATTTTAACCGGTTTACTAAATTAACTAGTCTGAGCATGCGCATTAGGGACAGCCATGCGTTCGGATGAAAGAGGTACGGATAATTGAGGATGTACTGTATAATTAAGTGTGTGCTACAAGATATGTACGGCATGTATGGTAATTCATAATTGATATCTCAGTCTTTTGATTTTTTCCAATTACAACAATTATTATTGTGGTGTATTTGAATTTGTAAGGTTTAGCTTAAAATAGCTATTGTCTTTCTTTTTATTGAATTGGGAAGGCTGTACACGTCAATGTCGTCCTGGTGTCATGCATACAATACCATTGGTTGTAGTGCCTTACAGTGTGTGGTATTTCGTTTTAGGTGATTTGAAAAATGAAGCAGATTCATCTCCACAGAAAGTCGATGATGCTTATGATGTATTAACTGAAGAAATGGAAGCTTCACTTTCTCCTAATGGAAGTGTGGATAAACATGGAGATGATGTTGACATTATGGCTGGCATTGATGACATTGACAGTCAACACTTTGAAGTTCTTGATGCTGTTGAGGATGGTGACCCTTCACCTACTGAAGCTACTGCTACAGGTACTATAGTGACTCTGAGCTGGTAGTAAAAGCTAGGATAAAATTGATTATTTTCGTATGATTTAAATTAATGTATAAAATAAACATGTACATGTACCAGTTTTATAGGTTGGTCTAAGTGTGGAACTGCTTGTGGTGGGGTTCTGCCATCCCCTAGCCATTGTACATGTAAGTAGATGTCATTGATGCACAACTTTGTTGCTCTGGTGTGCTTACACATAATATGTTAAGAATGTAAAGTGGGCTATAGGCGACAGCATAGGATATGGATCTGAATATGCAGAGTGGGCTTCAACAATTGAATTTGTTTTAACATTTCAATTTTGGCGTCATTTTTGGTATCCATTTTCATTCATTTTATTGTGGTACCCTTCATTTTTGCTGTAAGAAAAATTGTATTTGCTACTAGGGCTGAAACGAATAGTGAAATATTCGAATATTTGTTCGTTATAGCAATATTTGCATAGTTTTTTGCTATTCGAATAATAATATTATTAATGGTTATTGCAATAATTAACAGCCACGCCCACCACGTGTTACCTACACAGGCTGCTTTCTTAGTCTGTTTCTTGGTCTGTTTACTTCTCAACTCGCTAAATACTGATGCTGTGGCCAGGGAAAGTGGTTCTCAATCTCTAAGAAGCCCTGTTTGGCATCATTTTGAAAAGTTTAACACCAAAAAGGTAGTTTATAATCATTCAGCAATAACAGTTCAATTATTCGAATATTTGTTTGTTTAGCATGCCAATTATTCAAATAGTGAAAAATACTATTCATTTCAGCCCTATTTGCTAAAGAAATTTTATTCAAGACTTATAAAGTTCAAAGTTTAATTTATGACAGAGCTTTTATTTGCACTTGTGTCCATGCACCTTCTGAATCATTTGTTTTTTATACTTTGATCATGCTGATGCTTATTTTGTGTGTTATTTTTAATCTGGAAACAATCCCACATTGAAAGTGTTATGGTTCTATTTCTTTGCAATAAAGATATTTTTGAAAGTGCAAATAGAAGTAAAATAAGCTATAGAGTGTCATTGTAAAGTTTAAGCCTTTTAGGCATATGCCAACCAGCGACTTTTGTACTCTTGGAGTCTAGACCATACACCAACTAAGTTTTCATTAAAAAATTTTTGTCATTCTTAAGTGCTATACATTGTTTAAATGACGTGTATGCAGGCACACATGCATACCTTGATTTCTAGAAGAGAATGTGTAGTGCCTTTATTTTAAAAATTATTCACTTGGTAACATAGTCATTTTGATTATATGCATGTACATCATGCATGTACATTTTGATACTGTACAAAAAGAATGTTATGACTTAATAGTTACTTTGTATTAGACCTGCTCTTTTTGTTGCATTTGGCTTATGCATTTTGCTCTTCTTTTTTGTTTTAGAAGAACAGCCAAAGGAAGCTGCTGACGAAAAGGTTGAATTTAAAAGTCCCAGTCCAGATTTGTCTAACAAAACTTCTGCTAAGAAAGGTACTATAATAGTGCATGATTACTTGTTTTTAAGTTGTATTGTTGTGTAGGAAGTGAGAACTCTGGTGCAATTTCTCCAATTAGATTTGAAAGTAAAGGTACATGTACATGAATATTCTATTTTAGAGTAATACATATTACAATCATTATCAGAAGCTACTTCATCAAGTAAAGTCGATAAAAGTAAAGACAAAAAATCAGGTGAGGATAGACCCATGTGTTCTAGAGCCTTTATTATACTTATACATAATGTAGAACCCCTTCCCCACAAGATTACTGATAGACTTTTTGTGAATACAAGATATTTTGTCATAAAGAGTAATAATTATGAAAATGTTGATATTGCTAAATCCAAGGTACCAGTAAAGTCTTTAATGTCTTAATGGTTATAATCTTGTACTTTTTGGTATTAGAATGTTTGGTCAACACTCCCATACAATGAGAAGAAACTCAACAAGGCATACAGAGTTAGTGTTATTTGCTTTGCCAGGAATAGTTGAGTTGTGATTTTATGTTGTTAGGATTGTCGAAACGTCCTGTTAATTTTTTCAGTGAAGGAAAGTGGAGGTTTTCAAGGTACAGTGTATGCAGTGTATAATTATTTTTGTTTTTATGGCATATATTTTATTTTGCTGAAAACGTGAAAGGAGATCTTGTAAATTGAGATTTTTGTTTTAAAATTCTACTATTAAAAGAATCTCGATAAATTCAAAATAATAGTTAGCAGCACTAATTTCAAGTACATGCTTTTGCTTACATATTGTACATGTATATGAGTCAAATTAATTTTTTTGATTTTACTTGAACTGTACATGTAATGTGCATGCATGTACATGTAAGTGATACTCTATGTCTATTACATTGTACATTTGTAGGTTTTGCTAAACTGGTGTCAGAGTCTCGTAGTGATGTGCCTAGGGTACATTGGGTTTTACCTCCAAGTATGTCTGCCTCTCAACTTAGCCATGTTTTTAAACTTGACTGGATTCACAAGTGAGTTATTTCTACTATAAAAAAGCAGTCAAGAAGTTGTACACATTATGTACACATTACATTTGTTATTGTAATAGAAATGCATGTCATAAAAGTACATGTTTTGCTTAAGAATTTTTATTATTATAGGTCCTCCACCTTAGTGAAATTTGCATGACCACATGTACATGTAGTCCTGTACATTTCTCTTACTGCATAATGTGTCTCAATGAAGCAACTGAAGCAGCTTGCTGTACTACTGTAGATGAAGTAATCAGCATTAAGCACTAGCATGGCACTTCCCTGTTAACTTTTAGACGTAGTGTTTTGTAGTAATAAGTTTACTTTTGTAGTAATAGTTTACTTCTTTGACCTTGTCTTGTTGCAGTAGTCTTTATTGTACATGATACTTTTCCAGTTTAAGTGTACGATGCTTGTGGCTACACCCAATTTTAATTATTTAAGTTATATTAATGTGACCTCGTTGTGAGAAATTTTGTGCAGCGCCTTTCAATTGGAGCGTAAAGGCATATTGATTATTGTCCTAGATAAAGATGAAGTGGCTCATCACACAATAATGTAACATTTATTAATAGATTTTTTGTTGCTTTTCTGATCATTTTACTTCTGCTCCTCTAAAATTCCCAGATGTAGTATTTTCCCATCTCTTCTGTTATACAGGGGTACTCTTGCATTTAATCTATGCCAAGATTTGAAGAATCCATGGAATGAGAATAAGCCTGTAAAGATTGGTAGAGATGGGCAGGTGAGTGTGTGTGTGATCATGCTATGTGTGTGCTAAGAGTTTTGCTACTTATAGGAGATAGAGCCATCAGTTGGAGAAAAGTTATGTAAATTGTGGTTAAGTTTGAATGCTGATGGCTCATCTAGTGCTAGCTCTACTGTTGCACCTAGAGACAGGAGGAGATTATCAGGCTCACACTATCATGATGTGCATGTCTCTCAACAACCTGCTTTATTTCCTACTTTGTCTCCTTATGTTTCTGCTCCTTTTGCTCACCCATCACTTGGACTATTTGCCGGTGGAAGGCCACCACACATCCATTTAAATCCTACGCTTTACCCACCCCCAAGGTTAGAGCCACCCCCTACTAGTGTATACTACAGACCAACTAGAAACTATCAAGGACCAACTAAACGATATTCAGTCCAGCACAGAGCCCGCAGCAGCAGGACTACAAACACTGCTATGGACTCTCCAGTGCACTGAATCAATCATATTAGCTATTGTATCACAGAACTTTTAATACCACTAACTGATTATACATTTAATAGTAATGCCTCCAGTTGTTGTTGTTGGTAAAGGGCTGTACTGCACATGTAATGAGAGTGTATTGATTGAACTTGATGCAGCTGTACTTAGAACATTTCTCACACTACATCTTCAAATTGGACTTTTATTGGGGACAATTTTTTGAACTGTGGGTTTTGTTTGGGTGTTCAGAACTATCATTTTAAAAGGACTCTGAGAAAAACTAATAAACTTAAACAAAATCAGTGCTTTTAATAACTTTATTTCAGTAACAGTTGTTTTGATGATATCCCTGTTGTAATGTTTTCTCTGCCTGAGGTAGTGTTATTACTCCGTCTCTTGTTTCCTACCAAATTGTTTTTTTGTTACTATTTTCATTTCAGTAAGCATCATTTATCTCAAGCTGAAGCACTGTTAGATGCTAGGAAGAAAAAATCTGAGCACTCACATAGGAGAGGTACGAATATTATGTGTTTTAAAAAGTTGATGATGTATTGTGTGGAACTTAGATCGAGTAGCACGTGATCGAAGTCGTAGCAGAAGTAAGGAAAGGGATGTTTCTACTAACTCTAGGAGCAAAGGAAAGCCTGATTCATCCAGACGAAGGAGGAGTCGAAGTAGAAGCAGGAGTAGGGAAAGAAACTCTAGGCATGAAAAGGAACGAGAGAAAAACAAACGGTATCATTGTTATTTCTTAACACACTCCTTGAGTCATGTAGTAGGATATACCTTTATATTTTGTTATTTTTGAGTAGGGGGCATACAAAGGAGTCAGCTTTTGAGAAAAGTTTTGGTGTATGTAAGGAAACTCTTCTTCATGGCTCTTATGCTGATTACATTAAGGAATATGCTGCCCGAAGCACTAGAGCTAGTGGACCTGTAAGTAGTTATAATGTTGGCACTTTTAATTTTCAATAGACTTCATCTATGGGTGTGAATGTTGCCGGTATTGCTTCACAATATCAGAAAGCTTTATCTCATGTAGCAACTGCTCTCGCATCTCAAACTGCAGCTGAGGTATGATTATTTTATTGTAATATTTGTAATTATTAATGATTTAGTCTCAACAGCCAATGGATCCAGCAACATATAATAAAAAAGTAGAGGAATTTCTTCAAAGAATGAAGGGGAAATCACAATCATCTGCTTCAAGTCATAGTAATTGATAAAAAATAGACAATTTCTGCTATACTTTATAATTTGTACATTTAATAATAAAAATAATTTATTATTTTGTTTATTTATGACAATCCTTGCTTGGGTCTTGCATTAATAATGGTTTTGATGCAGTGGTTTTGTATCAGAGTTGTATGTGGTAATGTGGCATTGGTAACAGGACTGCTCCTTTTACCTTCCATAAGCCAAGACATCATTGCTGAACGCTCATATGTGTGACCATCTACATGTTAATAGAGTAGGAGAAATTAAATTATGGCACAAACGTGCATGTTCTATTATTGTACCTGCAGCTACAACAGGATCTTGAAATATATCTTGGGTGATAGGACATCTTAAATGAGAAGCTATTGATACATGTACATGTAACTCTTGTTACTGCAATTCATACAGACATACCTAAAACATCTTCATTATCAGCATTGGGGCGAATTGTCAAGTTTGACAATAACTGAGACAACTTTGTAACTGAATTAAAGTTAAAAATCAAATCACTAAAGATAAAATACCATTGGTTTTTTCATATTCTGTGATGTCAGGTTGTTCTGATTGAATGCCTTGTAGCCATGAAAATACTTTCTCCAGTGCTTCTTTAGGGCATTTTGACTCTCTGTCTTGTTTATCATCTAGTTTTACTTTATTACTTCGTGTAGGTGGTTCACTAACACCAGAACTTATAGCTTCATCTACAAAGTACTGTGTTATCATTATCTATAGTGAATCAAAGCATCATGCCTTTTGGTTCTAATGACCAGATTTTCATTGTTTTGTCATTGGAAGTTGAAGCAATCTTCTTCCCACATGGTGAAAAACAACAAAAAGTGACATAGCTAATGATACAGTCAAATCTCAATGTGCATACATTTTTGCTTACCGAGAATGAGCATCAATTTTATTCACCACACGACCATCAACCTATTTATTGTAAATAAAATTCTGACTTTTAGAATAACCCACCAAACTCCAGACAATAACTGACTTATCAGCAGAACCTGTCACTAAATATTTAAAATCTGGTGAAAAGTGGCAACTATATACAGCTGCTGAGTGCCCCTGTAATGTCAAACCTAACTTTAATATTGCTTCTAAGAAGATAAATTTAACAAAAATACTATTTGATGCTAGTGCACTTACTACTTGAAAGATCAACATTCCAAAGTTTGACAGTATCATCTAGTCCCACACTAGCCAACAGAAAAATGGTCTCACTGGTATAAGTAAGGGCAAATTGTAACCAGCTCACACCCATATCATGAGCAAACATCTTTTTAATGCAACGGTTAGAGAAAGCATCTGAGAGAATTATCTCTCCACTACTGCCACCAGAAGCTAGCAACCATCCAACAGATGCAAAAGAGCAACAATTGACACTGAAAATGAAATACATGCAGTTATGCTAGTACCACAATACTGATGTTTACCTGCATTCGTGTTTATCAAATGTGTTAATGCAAGTCATGGCATTAGCATCCCATATTCTTAAACTTTCATCTCCTCCTCCACCGGCTGATGCAATGAGGGAACCATCAGGTGAAAAACAGCACATTTTGACACTAATTTTATGGCCAATCAGTGAACCTTATCAAAGAATAAAAAACAGTAACATAACATTTAAAGTAAACTTATATGTACATGTGACATTATTATTTCTATATAAAAGTTTAAGGTTTAAATTGTCTAATGGTATTGGTATTGTAAATTGTTCATGCCATTGCTAATGTAAGCTGATTGATTCTTTAAAATGTTTACAAAAACGCAACAAAAACAGTGTTAACTTCAAATTGTTAGTGGTGTCAAAAATTGCCTGCATGTTTTTAATCATAACTAAATAAGGTTACTGTAGTGCACAAAATTTGTGAGGGCTATAAATTTTGAGCATGTCACTATTTCTTGAAGATTCAATTAGTTTATTTGGCAGACAGTATCCATTCAAATCTGTGTGAATGAGATGCATGATATACATTGAGATACTGTAAATGAATATTATATTCTGGCCACAATAAATGGAAACATACTTTGTACAGCCTTCAATGGGGAAAACGTGTTATTTTACCAGTTTTTAGCAGAGCAAAGGAGATATAAAATATTACAACCTTAATCCTGTATCATGGCAACAATTAAGGGCCTCTAAGCAAAATAGAAAAGCAGATAGGCAGATTTTAGCCTATTGGCCCACTGATTACTGTATAGACCAGTTGGCGCTAAGTATATTCATAGAATTTTAAGTATATTCATCGTGATACCGTAAATAAAGTAAAATTTTCCTGCCGCCATTTTGGAGTCTTAGTTACTAAGAGTAGAATGGGAGAAAGTAATATCTTTGCTTCTATATCTTCTACTGGCACTTATTAAAGTCCGTGAGCCAACTATAGAAACTGGATGATGGTCAGTAAGCAGTAGCAAGATTGCTGTAAATAATAAATACATCAGTTTTTGGAGAATGAGCTCTTTTCACGATCGCTCCATAGACAACTATTGGAGCTAGGACTCCAAAATGGCAGCAGGAAAATTTTACTTTATTTACGGTATCACAATGAATATACTTAAAATTCTATGAATATACTTAGCACCAACTGGTCTATAATATATACCCTCACAATGGCAGCCAGGAAATTTTTTGTTTCTAATGAATTATCATTACTTAAGGGAGATTTGGTCAATAATTTCGCGAAATAAATAATTTGCAATGCATTTTAGGCCAATTCAACATTTGAACAATTCTCACAGTACGGTATTAGACTAATAACCAGATTAAGTTATGACATCACTATCTCAAATTAACAGTACAGTATGGGCAAGGTATTAAATTACCAATACACTTCCATGTCGTAGTTGACCAGAGCTTAATACTTCCGTCAGATGAAGAGGATGCAAGCAAATCTCCATTTGGACTGAAGACACAAGAATTAACGTAATAGGTATGACCACGCAATGGAGATTGTGGAAGCTCCTGACCCGTGCATCCATTCCAAATTCTTATCACCTTGTCACCTCCAGCAGTGGCAATATAAGGAGATACTGGAGACCACTCACAATAGTTAACATCACCATCGTGTCCCTGGCAAACATAAAGAAGTGACATGTTGATTAGTTTAGATCGCTAGCCTACAATGCTGATGGTGCATTTGGGTGGAGGCTCGACTTGATGCAATTAATAATTCATGTTCTAGGTCTATTAGATCTATTATTGCATAGATAATCATAATGCATATCTCCTTGTGAACTAAAATTTTAAAGGAATGGCTACAATGAGCTCTGAAGTATTTATTTCTGAAAATGAGGCAGATCTACCAGAAGATCAGCAAGTTAAAGGAAATGAAAAAAGTGCAATATTGGATAGACTTGGGGAAGTGTTCTCATCTGTAACTGTTGATGGCTACCTGACAGTAAAGGACTTAAGCCAAGCAATGACATCTCACAAGGTATATCAATCTTTAAATTGAAAAACATCATATAATTATACTCATTAGGATTTTTCTTGCATGTTGTTTGAACTAATTGATGTCTGTAGCATTGGTAGTGTAAGTCCGGGAGAAGTGATTAAAGCAGTAACAAAGCTACAGAAAGGGTAGATCTATCATTGCTCTATCTATTGTATTAAATATTGTTATAATTAGCAACAAGAAATATTTAAAAAGAAATGATATGAAGTGGTTTGAAAACAAGATTTGGCATGTAGCAAGAAATAATAACAATTCACTTAAGAAAGATCAGTTTCAAGAATTGTTTGAAGTGGATGGTGTAAGTTATGTACAACTCAATAATTATGCATGTAGTTCGAATCAACTTTAAAAAATAAATTTCTCTAAAGTTTGTAGTTAAATTTTCTGAGCTTCTTCTTGGGGGTACTGATAGAATTAATGTTTCAGATATGTTACAGTCATTTCAACTGGTATTGATGTAAGTTTAATTTCCTAAAATTATTAATTTTGTATTTTTTGTTAGTAGTGACACTGAGGACAATAGTTTGTTGTGGTATGAGAGAAAGTTCTCTGCTGTTATGGATGGTAACAAGCAAGTAAAATTTGAAGAGTTCAAGAAAGCCTTAAATATAACTAAAGTTTGTAATCAGTTTTAAAGTTATAAATCTAATTCTTTAAATTCTTAGTCAACATTTTTTGCCGAGAGATTCTTTCAGATTTTTGATACAGATCACAGTGGATCAGTTAGTGTCAAAGAACTGATTGATGGACTTACAATTGTAATACACGGCAGTCAAGTTGACAAATTAAAATTTCTTTTCATGGTTTATGATGTTGATGGTATAAACAGAATATCAAATTTCAACCACATCACTATGTGTTATCAATAACTAACATTTTTAGGTAATGGGTATATTGACTTTGAAGAGTTGAAGACAGTACTAAGGTCTTGCATGGATGAAAGTGCTCTAAATTTGAGTGATGAAAATTTAAATGAATTAACTAAGTATGACTTCAATTGTATTGTAATGCACATAAAAGCTACATATATAGTACATTATTTGAAGCAGCTGATGCAGATAGAAGTGGAGAAATTAGCTTTGATGAACTAAAGCAGGAATTAGAAAGACACCCTGAAATTGTTAACAATCTGACCGTAAGGTAATCTTTATGTATCTAGAGCCAAGCCATGTTGTAGTTTCTGACAGTGCTGCAAGTTGGTTGCAACCAAACTCTCAAAAAAGAAGTTGTTTTGAGCATGTGCCTCACTGGTTAAAGTGGAAATATATCAGAAATAATATACCTTTGATTTTTTGCATTGCACTCTGGATAAGTGTCAATGTTATTCTATTTGTTGAAGCAGCAATGAGACATAAAGACAAAGGTATTAAGGTTACTGCTTTTATAAGCTATTTTTATTATTTATTTTAAGGTACTTTTGTTTTGATAGCTCGAGGATGTGGGCAATGTTTAAATTTTAATCCTGTTATTGTTCTTTCTCTAATGATGAGAAAGTGTATGACATGGCTTCGGTCATCCAGAGTATCTGGACTACTACCATTGGATCAATACATTGAGCTTCACAAATTGACTGGTTATGCTATTCTTTTCTATTCAACTTTACATTTTTTGGCACATCTTGCAAATTTTAGTAAGTTATAGGCTTATGTTTTGTAAGTATCAGCATTGATATTTCAGGCTCAAGAGAAATTCAAGGCATTGAAACTAATTTTACTATGTGGATGTATTTATTTGGAGTTGGGACAGACTTAGGATGGGTTGGTGGAATGGCTGGTTTGACTGGATTTCTTTTATTAATCATCATTGCTATCATGTTTATTTGTGCATTGCCTTTTATTAGACGTAGTGGACATTTCCAAGTGTTCTATTGGACGCATAATCTCTATATTGCATGGTACATCATACTAATTCTTCATGGTCCGAACTTTTGGAAATGGTTTGCTGTTCCTGCTATAATTTATATTGGAGAGTTTGTTTTACGATTAAAAATAATCAAATTAGTTCGTTATGGAAAAACATACATTGAGGAAGGAATATTACTCCCATCAAAAGTAGGACTCTACATCAAAATTAATGCTTAAACCTCAACATAATAGGTGGTTCATCTTGTTATTACACGACCAGGAAATTTCAATTTTTATCCTGGAGATTATGTTTTTATACAAATACCAAAAGTGGCAAAATATGAATGGCATCCTTTTACAATAAGCTCAGCACCTGAGAAGCAAGGTGTATTCTGGCTACATATTCGTGCTGTTGGGACATGGACTGAAAGGCTTTATAAACTTTTTGAAGCTAAGAACAAAAGAAAGTCAAAAGGTTAAATAGTAAATAAATCATATTAATTTCATCAGTTCTTATAGGATCAGTTCCTTTGCAGTTGCTAACACAACCAAAAATTCACCATCCTGTGTCTAATAAAGTGGCTCCAATTGCAATTACTGCAACTGAAGATGAAGAGCATCCAATGGCAGCAACTGACAGGCATAATGGACAGAATTTTGGACACATGCAGTATGATCCTGTTGTTATCCAGGTACAACTTGATAATGAAAACGAAGAGGCCATTGAAGTAAAACACCACAATTTTATTTAAAATGACCAAAATAATTATTAACATTAATTATTTTTAATAGGTTTTTTTTGACGGACCATATGGAAGCCCATCTGTTCATATTTTTCAAGCTGAACATGCAGTACTCATAGGAGCTGGAATAGGGGTCACCCCATTTGCCTCAATTCTTCAAAGTATAATGATAAGATATCAAAATGGAAGGCAAGTTTGCCCAAGGTGTAATCATCATTGGACTGGTGACATACCTCCAACAATTATGACATTAAAAAAGGTATAAAAAAGGAATTGTTTAAAATAATTTTTGGACCATAGGTTGACTTCTTTTGGATCAATCGCCATCAAAAATATTTTGAATGGTTTGTGTCTCTGCTTAGTCAACTTGAAATAGAACAAATGGAAAGTGGATTCAATCGGTTTCTTGATATGCACATGTATATGACATCAGCACTTGATAAAACAGACATGAAAGCTATTGGTCTACATATGGCACTTGATTTGCTTCACAAGAAAGAAAAAAGAGATCTTATAACTGGTTTAAAGACAAGGACACAAGCTGGTCGCCCCAATTGGGAAGAAGTAAGTTACAAATACAGGCACATAATTTTTGACTATTTCATCAAATTGACACTGATACAGGTATTTGCTACCATAAATTGTGAGAAAAAGGGGAAAGTAACAGTTTTTTATTGTGGATTGCCATCTCTTGGCAAAATACTACAAAAGTACTGTGTAAAATATGGTTTTGGATTCAGAAAGGAGAACTTTTGATTGCTTTGTAATTTCTGGGCCATCCTGATGGATTTTAGTTGTTTTTAATATTTTGTTTTGTAAGCAACTTCATTAATTTTCATCTTTCATACTTATATCAATGAAAAATTATTTTGCATGAAAAGCAATGGCTGGGGAGCAGCCATCAAACTCTTTTTACATAATGAATGGCCTTGAGTTATTACCAAATGATTTACACTGGTTTGTATATCATTACACCTTGTCCTTAGTGCTTTCTTTTACAATTGATTATGTATTTATTCCAAATAAGTAAGGTATCATTTCTGATTGTTTGATTGTTTTATCTAAAGATTATAATAATGAATAATAATAAATTGGAAGTAATGACTATGTTAAATAATAAGCAATCTGTTAATGTATGTTGGTATTAAAGAAAAATCAAAGATAAGGTCCCCAGCCAATATACATTTGACACAAGTTGTCAATGTCTGTAGCTTCCTAAGCAAAAAAATGCAAAGAAGTCACAAAAACAATTACTTTAATCAACTGAAGAACATGACTTTTGACTGACAAAGGGAGTGTCTTCCCAGTTTTTCCTTGAAGCCTCTCATCAATATCACTAACAATTTTCACACCCTAAAAGCAATAAACAAAGACACATACACTGAAATATGATACTTTATCACTGCTCTGTGATCGACTAGTCTTAACAACCCATTCAACCAATGGATCATGAATGAGAGTTTTTAAAACGCTAAAAAAAGAATGTCTGTCACACAAGACCATATTAATTACCACATTAAAGGATCTCTTTGTTGTCTCATTAATTTCATTGTCATTTCACATGAAATTCGGAAAGTTCCTTCATATTTTGTAACACCCTATCATTAGTAAAAAAAGTCAAGTATTCTAATTGCAATTTCTAATACCATTGCATCAACCATATTATGTGTAAGCCTAAATGGCACTATTTCAGGGACTTCAAGAGTAAGACCCTATAAAAATTGTCAATTCTTAAAAAAATATATATAGCATACAACACCTTATTAAATAGGTAGCTAAAATCCACATGAACAACATCTCCATTGGTGCAATCAATAAGAATGTTTTCACCATGTCTGTCACCTAAGCCCACCATGTAACCAACAATAGACATTACTGCAGCTGTTCGGGCAAATGATTGGGAACTAGAATACCTAAGGAATTATATTCTAATGACAGATATGCTTAAAAATGAATAACCATGATGTTGGATCTGGAAAAGCCTTCATAAACCATTCACCTAATACTGGAGGATGCCTATTACAGCATGATCATTGAAATTCTGTCAAACATATAATTTCCTACCTGGGCAATATTTTATTCACAAAAATGTCTTTAAGCACTCTAAGAGACAAATACGATTAGTGCTATTGTTAATGACACAATAATGTCTAATGCTTAAATAATGACTTTGTTTCGATAAATAATGACTTTGTTTCGATATAAAATTTTGACAACAAATATAAATAGCTATAAATCTTATATACTAGGAAATAAACAACTGTGTCCACAATAAATAAAGTATAAATAATAGGACTTTACTTCTTGTTTCTCTTGTCACTATCTTTGGGGAGAAGTTTCTTAACATCAACTCCACTGGTATACATTCCTTTCTCTCTAAAATTAAAGAGTAACTGGTTTGAAAAAATGAAAAATAATATACTGGTATGTTGTTTGCAAAATTGGTCTGTATCCTGTTGTATTATCAACCCATTCCACTAGTCCACTATCTTCACTAAGGGGAATAACTGCCTGTATTAATAATTAATGAAAGTGATAATAACTCAGTAACTGACATAAGTTCTTATGTGTAAATGACGCTGACGGCACTCAGGATCACGGATTAAAAACTAAGAAAGATAAACTCAATTTTAATACATTTGCAGTACTTTGTTAATCACAGTATTAAATTCCATTAAACGACAATCTTTTCTTAAATCATCCTAATGCAAGAGTATAATAATTTGCACATTCATAACAACATCTCACTTTTGGCTTGCACATCATGGTATAGCGATTTCCATCACTAGCGAGAATAATTACTTTTTTTGGTCTCTGCAATGAATTAAGAATATCGACCTACAAAATAAATATCTTATGATAAATGATAAAAGAAACATGACTTCATGTTATTTTTAAATCCGATCTGTCATTAGTCACATCTAAGATCTAACTGTGAGACAAAACTTATTGAAAAATAAGTACTGTGTATGAGGTTTTGTTTGTGCACTATAGTAATAATAAAACAACCAAATGTAATGCATAATTATCACTGCAATAAATTGGATGGAGAACTAACATCCAACAACTAATATTCTAAACTTGGAAAACAAATTAGCACCTACTTATCACTTTCTGGGTGTACCCAAAACTCTATGCTTTCTTTTCAACATCCTTTTTCACTTAAAACATTTTTTTCAAATAAAAAAATAATTTGAGCAATTGCTCATCCAAAAATTACCATTATAGATACAAAAATAGTGTATAATGTTAAGACCAACATACACTATGCAACATTTGTGACAAACAACTTGTTGCATGCAACACAGTTTATAATGGAGTCAATGGAGATGTTGCAAGCTCCTTGATTGCAGTATAAACTGCGTTGCATGCAACAAGTTGGTTGCAACAAATGTTGTTGGGCCTTACAATCAGTAATACTTGAGACAAGTTTAGCTACTAAAATTTTACCCTATCATCAAATGATACAATACTTGGTTGAACGCCAGGAAATGGATTATGATCAGAAGGAGCATCCTGACAGGCAGGCAAAGTTACAGTTAAGGATGACTGAAGAGGGACCATAACAGGACTAAAATCACTAAAGAACCGTTTTCAACAATGCAAAGGTAAAAAATAGCACATACTCTGATTTAGTTAATCTCACAAGCTCCCTACAAACATCATTCATTTTAACAAAAGTTCTTTTTGACTCAGATTCACAAGAACAGACATCTAGTAAGCATCTGCCTAGCTTACAAATATCATCTATTACTTTTGTCCACCGAGGAAAAATATGTCTATGAGATACATGTACAATAAACAAAGTACAAGAATACTGTAAGACAAACTTTGCTTTATTAATAATTGCTTTACAACGATTTTTCCTAGTACTGTTGGAACTCTAAAATAATACAGACAATTTTATTAAAAAACAGAGAGGAAAGGTTTGCCATTTACCTTGCTAACTGCTATCATCAGCCACAACGAATGCTGAGGATAATGCTTCAGTAAAATAAGAATAATTTTCTAAAAACAAGAAATCATTGAGTACTATACAAGTTTCAGGATACCTCTAGTGTTGCGTAAACATTATCATCATGGTGACAAACCCTAGATATTATCTGTGAAAATGCGATCAAGAACTGATATGGAGCTAGTTGATCAACAAGATTCTCCATCAGCTACAAAACAAAAGTTAAAATAAAAAAATAATTATAAAAACCTTGGTAATTTTGTCTACATTTGATTGAAGTAAGGCTTTCTCTTGCTTTGATGCTAAAAACAAAAATATAGCAAAAATCTGCCGCTTGCTAATACCTGAGCTGTTTCCATAATCCAACCAAAGAGAAAGAGCACGTGGCAAGCAGTGATAAATGAACCTGTTTCCATATGTAAGTGCATCACCATAGTGCTTGATAGTATAATTCAAAACATCTCTGTGAAAAGTTTGAACAAAAAAATGCACATTACTGCATGCATGGTTATATACGCATAATTAGAAGGATTCTTTTCAACCAATGTGAGTAATCTATCATAATATCTTCCTAAACAAAAATGTCCCTCTTCATTCTCTCCATCAATTGCTATTACTTCCTAATAAAAGTAGTACATAAACTATAAGGTAAAAACAGGTATTTCACATACTTTGTAATGTTTCAAAATTGTTTGGGAGTCATGATCAGTTTCTTCCAGTAACTTGCCAACCATTAACATTGCCTAAAAAATTATCAAATTAGTACGTAAACTTTGCAATGAGGTAATGGAATAAATTTAATGCCTCAGTAAAACAGGATTTAGGTATGGCAAACATGAAAAACTGGTAACAACTTTAAGCATAGTGCAGAGCACTCATCTGCATGTCTCCAAGCAGGCAGATGCTGCAGTGGTTGAAGTGTGCTGAACTTTCTAAATAGCAATTGCTCTGTGTTTACCAGACAAACAATTCATTAACAGTAGATGCTCATTGACCCAAAACTACAGCAGCTGGGTAAAAATGTCTCTCCTTTCAAAGCTGTTGGCAAGATAAGGAGCAGCTTCTACTTTAAGCTCCAGGTGACAACTACACTCTGGCAGACTGCCACAGCTTACAGCTCATAACATGCCTACCAATACTTTCAAAGAGACAACTCAAAACAATCACCAAATAAATAAAACATATTGGCAAGGAAAAACAGGGGTCAAAGGTTAGCAGATATATGATGCCAAATACAGGAAGCAAATGCCTGAAGGAGTACATCTGCAATGGGTGAAGGTAGAGCCATCACTCCAAGCCATTTGCCACTGGGAAAGGAATCAGTCCCTAATTTTGCCATTAAGCCAATGAGCATATCAGATGCTAAGACTTTAAATTCAGTTAACAATAGAGGAGGAAATGTAGGGCCATTTCCTATGCATTATGTGATAAACAGTTAGCAGATGTACACTTTTTCATTATTGTTATTCATAACATTTAAAATTAAAATTCTTGGGCACGGTAGGTCTCTAAAAAGTTTAGACACTTGTCTGCAGGTACATATCTCTGGATATGCATCAGCAGTCATTGGTAATGAACATGTAAGCCCACTATTAACTGTGTGCATTTCAATTAATTTAGCATTTCTGCTATATTTCGCTACTTTTAAGTGTTTAGCTATAATTTACAGGTAGCCACAGGATCATTCTGGAACTGGGAACGATATTGATGAAGATCTGGGTAGTAACTGTTCCTTTGAATCATTTCAGTCAAATATCGGGGAGCCATCGTAATCACCATCACCATCTCCATAGCCAATCATTCGTTCTTTCTAAGCAGCAAGGAAAGCTAATGTATTTGGATTACAAAAAAAGACTAACAATAAAGAAACAATTTGAAATTCTGAGATTCAATCTAAGAGAAGATGAAACGGCAACTAGAAATGAAATGTTCCAAAAAGCAATTCAGTACATTAATTACTTAAAAAATAAGAAGTTTCACTTAGTCTGTTGTGCACAGATGCATAAGTAAATTCTTTAGATAATTATTATGTGTATACAACATATAACATTGATACACTAATAGTAAGGCACATCATTATGAAGGAAAGCATTAGAAAAAGAAGTAAGGAATCAATTAATGTTTATAATACACTGTGTGTGAATTATAAAACTGAAGCCACAGAATGTCTGGAGTCCAGTCAAAAAGCACTGCCATTGAAGGGAATATAATAGAAGCAGCTAACTCACTCCCCCTCTCCTTTTATTCTATAGGCATACAAGGTACTAACACAAAAGTGCTATTTTTAACGAAAATGCTGCAGTTATGTAATATTGCATATCAACTATCAAAAAATCAAAACTGTCTATTAAAAAACTATTGTACACTGTCCATTGTATACTGATAACAGTGATTGATCTGTCAGTGTATGCAAAATAAAGCTGGTGGACCAGGTGGTCTACATTCCCCTCTTGATTGACATAACACAAAGCAGTTGTTCAGGTCAGGATGGCCGCAACAGGTGTCTCTTGTCTTTAAAAATTAATTATCCCAGCGTTTTGAGTTAAGTGCATTTTGAGTTAAGTGTGGAGGGAGGATGCTTGTTGCGGGGAATAGGAGTTATCATACATAAGACGTTACAAGAGAGAACGATAGAAGAGATACATAAGGATCATTAGGGAATAACAAGGAAGAAATCTATAGCAAGGAGTTACTCCGTGAAATTGAAGCAAAGAGTTGTCTCATGCCAAGCTGTTAAGCAAGGTCCTCCAGTAGCACTGCTACAACCCTGGTAATGGCTTGGAGTCGTGTCCACTTAGATTTCGCTGGTCCAAGTACCTGTAGAAAGTGGCCTGAAGTATACATAATGAAGGAAACGACAGCAGCTAAAACCATAGAGTCATTATGAGATATGTTTTCACATTATGGATTTCCTGAAACAATAGTTATAGATAACGGCCCGCAATTTGTATCTCAGGACTTTGTGGATTTTCATACATTGAATGGTGTTAAAACACATTCGTAGTACCCCTTATCACCTAGGTCCTAATGGGATGGCTGAGAGATTTGTACAGTCATTCAAGACTGCACTGAAAGCAGCCGAAAGTAATGGTTTACCAATTTGTAATCAACTAGCTAACATGCTACTAGCTTATAAAAGTACCCCTCATTCTACTACTAATGAATCACTAGCTTTACTCTTTTTCAAGCGTCAGCTTGAAACTCGTTTAGATATGATTCACCCTGATATTTCATCTGATGTTCAAAATAGTCAAACTTGTCAGAAAGAGTATTATGATTGTCATGCTAGATTTAGAGAGTTTTCAGTTAGTGAAAGTGTTATGGCAAGGAATACGTGTCCGGGTCCAGACTGAGTGCAAGCTGAGATTATAGAGAGATTAGGACCTCTCACTTATATGGTTAAAACTAAAAATCAATTGTTATGGAGGCGACACATCAATTTGTTATGTGAGCTTTTACCTTCTAGAGTGGTGCCAGAGTTAGACGAGTTTGCACCTGAGCCCGATTCTCATTGGTCGATACCACCTGTGGAAAACCCAACCGTACCTCAGGATCCTCAACTGGTTCAAGAACCACATTACCCCTCTCGTAACTGCCATCTACCCAATCGTTTCGGCTGGGTCCTTTGATTTTGGTGTGAAGGAGTGTGGCAACTATTATTGTGAGTAATTGTGTGTATTAATTAATAGTATGTTATTAAGTAGCTATTGTGTACGATGTAATCATTAGTTCTCACGCCATTAATTAACTGATTTGTGAACACTATATAGCTGTGCTATTAAAAAAAGAGATTTAATTAATAAGTCACTTTGTTTGATCTCTCAAAACACTACAGCCACAGTCTTAGACTCTCTGTGCTGCTTATCAAGCTGGGAATCTGATCACAATACGAGTGATTGTGCACTGGCAACATGGGAGAAAAAAAGCAAGCAACAAAAAAGGGAAGGAATCACCCATATATGAGAAGCAAGGAGCCATGTAGAAAATTTAACATTGTAGACATGCCAAATGTCGCTATCAACATGTTTGTAGCACATGCTCCAGTGCTGACCACATGTTGTCAGCTTGCCCGATGTCATCCTCAGCAAAGACTATGAACGCATAGCTGAATCAGGCAGCTCTGCTTGGAGGGCATTATACAGGTGGGCAGCCTCTATCTCGAGATCCGAGATCACTTTGTGCATTTCCTTAAGGAGAGGTTCCGTGGAATTGACTCTGATAGGTACTACGGCTACAGTTTCTGTATTGGTGCAGCTACGACAGTAGCTTAAGCAGGAGTGCCGGACCATTTGATTAAAGACATGGGTCGCTGGAAGCCTACCAGATTTATACTTAGTCCCCTCCTCCCATCCTAGCAGCAGTAGCGTCTTCCTTGTCTAGGGGTCCGACTGCCTAAACTCATCTGATTCTTATTGTGTCCTTCTTTCTTTGTTTATTTATATGAGTACCGTCAGTTCAGTATTATAAAAAGGTGTTCTATTGTTTGGGCGTGGTTTGGAACTGGAACCACCCCCTCAGATCGAGACAGAAGTACCTCCCAGAGGCGGGGATTACCCCTCTGCGATTAGCTGGGGAGGAGTTGAGAGCTCGCTCCACGGGCTGATCCTGTGTGCAAATTTGGGATTTTGATCTGGTACAAGTGTCCCTTTCTGGGGGTCCAGTTTTGGAAAGCCACACCCAATGGCATACCTTGCCATTACCGGTTAGCAGGGATGCCCCTTAGTAATAGCATAGGGACTACCTACCTATTGTATTGGTCTGAAGAGGATTCCACGGGGGCTAGAGGTAAGAAGTCAGATTTGTGAGACATGTGGCTAATTGTCGTTTTGAATGACATTTAGAGAGTTTTAAATGAGGTAAACGCCCACAAGGTCTGCGCATGCATAGTAGTTGAGCGATCTGAGAGCAAGAAGAGTCTGCTTCGAACTTGGGAGTTCAATAATTTTGATTTGCGTTATTTCTTGTTTGTCTCGTGAGGAACTCGAGAGTTCTGAGATGTTGGACACAGAAGGAACCAATGGGACCGGTCCTGGAGATGCGACTTGTTCCACAGGAGGGACTCGGCCCGGAGAGGGGACTGGTTCTGGAGCTGGGACTCGTGGCAGCGGGGGGACTCACCTCGGGCCATCAGGGACCACAAGTACTAACAGGCCCCCGGCAGTACCAATGGAGTTGATCGCTTCAATGATCTCTCGCGCCGTGTGGGAGGGCTTGGGAGGCCTACCTCCTACGACCACTCCTGGGGGGATTACGCTAATTCCCAATACAATTCCGACTTCAGCTGCCGGGGGTTCGCACGCTGGTGTGGTGACGGCGGGCTTGGGGGGGAATCTACCGTTCCTGCCGCTACGTCAGGTGAGCTGAGGGAGCAAGTGGGGGAGTACGGGAGTAGCGAATGAGAGATCGGAGGGTCAGCAATACCGGTGTAGCCTGGCAAGTCAGAACACCACTGTAACATCAGTTATCTTATTGAGACAGCGGTATCATGGCCTCAGAGTCTCGAAATACCAAAAACAAGCAAATAAATTTTAAATTATACAAAGAAATAATAATATTAACTTAAAATTTTAATAACAATAATTAATGGAAAATATTGATAATAAAATCAAAATAAATAAATTAATTAATTAGATAAATGTCAACAAGGACAGCGGCCAGTTTGTGGTCCTAGCGTCCATTGTATGTGGGTGTGGCATTAGGTACAGAACACCCAGTTTTCTTTTAACAGTTGTCTCCTTATTTA